TAGGAAGAAATCACAACTTTCGCAACTTTCTTCATTTTCGCGAACTATTTCGCAACTTTTCCGCAATTGGCGCCATGGCATGGGGTCAAACGGTCAAGTCACCGACTCACCGACTACATGTCGGACAAATGCAAACTCGTACTCGCTCATTTCTCGCCTGCCTTCAGACTGATTTCAGAGAAACAGTAGATCAACGGTAGTTGTGATAATGTGCACTGAAGTAATAGTTCCCTTTTCCTTGCACTGGAATGATGTACATGTAGGATACATGCAACAGGCTACTGGCACTGTGTAAAGTGGTGGTTCACCGCAGGAGGGGGTGTAGATCTACGAGTTTGCTGTCGATGCACCGTAAGTTCTGCTATTTCTCCTCCCTTTTGTGTAGTTTTTTTGCACTAGAACTCTCCAATTCTACGTTGCGATATTAGCAACTTTTGAGCTTTTTCTGAAAATATGGATGCGATTTCAGCAACTAGCACTTGTTTTGGCATGGTTGCGAAAAATTATGGCATCTTCGGGAAAGGGCTAATGCCGAGGCAGCCATCCCAGCACCAAGATAGCGTACACTATCGGTCCTAACAACCAAGTGTCACCAAAGCGTTCACTGGCAGCCTGGCACCTCAAGACTGAACTTAAAACAAGCAGACTGGAGTCCTACTGCCATTGACCAAGTAACCCGGTTATCCTCACCATGCATTTTCAAAATGTCATTATGATCATACCAAACACGGAGCGGATCAAACTTCCCAGCTGTTACAGAATCATCGATCAGCATACCATCCCTGGCAGGCTACATGTATTCACAGAGGTCACGGAGTTGAATAGCGTCAACTTGCATATTGTTATGGATAAAGGCCCTTCGCACGACGTGCAAACTCACTTTTATCGTACTGTTTCCAAGGATATTTACTCGGATACGATAAACTTGACTCACGCGTGCAACTGATTTTTTTAACTAGGCCGAGGCCCTTTTGCTCGCGATTATCTTTGCACGCCAGGAAAAGTGTCGGTTGTTGAAAGTGCGTACTGCAAATGCAGTGCTTGAACAAAGGAACATTCAACATTTCCCGGCATTTTCAGGAGGTCACTATGGATACATTGACGGTTGCAAAGTTTGCCCAGCTCCATGTGAACTAGATCACGGTTTGCCAGTGTTATCTTGGTCACACACATGCAAATGTTTGCACGTTGTGTGAATGGCCTTAAGAGAGGTTCTGGAGTACGATTTTCGTGCCAAAATCCGTAGAGGCGCTACGGATTTTTGATATGTAATTTTCGAGCAGTGAAATGTTCCGGAGGACGGAACTTATGTGTTTGCCGTCATTGCCTAGGTTACGATCGCAAACACGTCATATTCCCGTGCTATACCTTTTTTATTTTACGGTACCCTGTAAGAAGGCCTTAGGCCTGTGGGGATTGCCCTATCCAAATTTTTATAATAATAATAATAATGGGTTCGAGTCCTGGTGGGTCTGGCAATTTTTTCTCTTTTCAGGCAGTTCACTTCCCCGACTGATACTTTGAATTTGACGTTCTCCCAATCCTTTCAAAAAATAATAATAACTATTATTATTATTTAAGAAAGGGTTTGCTCCCCACATGACTAAGTAAAGTCGGCGGAATAGCGCGAGCTCCAGTGTGGGGAGCAAACCCTTTCTTACAAATCATCGCCGAAGTCGCAACCACTACTTCGTATTATTATTATTATTATTATTATTATTTGAAACTCGGATGTTGAGCCATAAATAAATGTAGAAAGGAAAAGGACATATGGATACGAGTTAAGAGTAACTCTCCATCACTGTAACTGGATACTAATATAGTCAGAAAGTGCAATAACTAGGCACAAAACTGACAAGATTATTATTATATTATTATTATTAATTTTTGAAAATTTATACCGAAATCGAAACTTCCCGCGGAAAATCGATGTTTCTCGTTCCAAATTTGTACGCGAAAAATCTTTCTGCACCCAATGACGCAAAATCTCCATACGAAACAGGGTTCGTATGAAAGCCATTCAACACGGATTCTCCGTTCCGAAAAATCGTATGAATCAGTAGAAGCACGTCTCGAAAAAATCCGTAGGGGCCATACGGATTTTGGCACTGAAAATCCTAGATCTACCCCGGAACCTCTCTATTATGAACTCTTGCTACTGTGGATCCTGCTTGCTCGTAGTATCCGTACAAACTGGCGGTTCATTTGCACGAGACCCCACTACCAGAGACTACCAGATGGGGTCCCGCGGATTCTGCCGGCAGAAAAATTGGCAGAATTCGGTACTTTTTCTGGTAAGTTTCATGCATGTTTGGTATGTGGTCATTGTGGATAAAAAATGGGCCAATTTTACTGCTCTTCGAGCAGAATCTGCCACCTTTTCGAGCAGAATCCGCCGCTCCCTACTACCAGACTACTAGCAAGAGTTCATAACCCCAGGGTTATGTACTCTTGCTAGTACAGGTAAAACCTGCTCCAAAGACCACCTGGACTCAGCGACCACCTGATGTGGACGACCGTATTTGTCTGGCACCGTCCGTTTCACGTACATTCTGACTCGCATTCAGCGACCACTCGCTCGACATGACCAGCGACCGGCTTACAACTGGTACCGATCGCCAGTTCAACGACCACTTCACGACTTCAGTACCCCCTAACTGCCTAAGTCCAAGAACTGGCAGGGCAAGGTTGGGCTTTTTTGTACCTTACTTAGCTGTATGGTCTCTCGAATTCAAATATACAACAACAACGTACAGCTTCTCTCTGGTTCTGGCTTCTTGTGCTGTCTCTCAGTGCCACCACGTACTTGTACTTGTACACTACAAGTTACACCTACAGTGCACTAGTGATGGACATGTATGACTCCCCCTGTAAGTAATGCACTTCACCAATGGTATTGACAATGCACAGCATGCAGTGCGAGGATTCATTTGATACCATAGTAAGATCACCTGCTTTGAAAGACCACCTGTTTATAAGACCACTTTGGGCTGGAACCATGCGTGGTCGCTGAAACCAGTTTTTACCTGTACCGTAAAGTACCGCCAGAGCGCCCCGTCTCGCGAGAGCGCCCCACCATCGTATGGCAGAATGCTACTAAGTTTGTACGGTGTGAGAACCTTAGTGTACTAAGGTCACACCTGGCACGTTTTTATGTGGACCTTGAAGGTAAACTGGGTACAGATTGACTGCACAACGTGCAATGTGTGTACAAGGTCCGTGTCGTACGACCTACAGACAGGAAATCACCTCCACAAGACGACCACGAAAGGACGAGATGGTGGGGCGCTCTGGCGGTACTTTACGGTACTGTCTGTACCGGTACTAGCAAGAGTACATACCGTATTTCCGCAAATAAAAGGCCGTCCTCCGCCTTCCTCGTATACAAGGCCGGGGCAGGGGGCGATTGAAAAAATAAAAGACCGTCTCCGATTAGAAGACCGGGCCTACTAAATGAGTCTTTGTTCTTGTGTTAAAGGGGAAGTTAAGGCAAAAATTAAAATTTCACCAGTTGTAGTCTTCGGAGTGCTGAGTCGAATGGTCTTGGTCCGAGAAAGCTGAGACGCTCCCTTCCTACTTGAATCCCAATCGAACTCGCGCACTTCCACCGAAACTGGGTGACTGCGCCCTACTAGATGGGGATTTGTATGCAAAATGTCACTAAAAGCGCCATTTCGTTCTTATAAAAGCACGGATGACCGCGATCAAGAGTACATGAAAACCAGAGTGTGCAGCTTGGGGCCTTTTCTGCTATGGGTGTCTGTCACGGCGAAATTCCGTGATTACATCATATTTGGCCCAGATCTGAGGCGGGAAATGGCGTAGTGCGTACAACTGAGCTGCAGTTGTGCAGAAAGAGACCTGCTTGAATCCTGCTTGTACGCACTACATCACTAAAATGATGTAATCACGGAATTTCGCCGTGACAGCAACCCATCCGAGCTGCACACTCTGGTTTTCATGTACTCTTGCCGCGATTGGCCCATATCTCTTTTGGGCGCTGAGTCGACTGGTTTTGGTCCGAAAAGGCTGCGATGCAGCGTTCCTCCTTTATTCCCAATCGAACATGGTTGAAGAAACGGTCACGTGCGCCTGGGTGCCCAAATCACCTGGTCACCACGCCAGCAGGCGACAACTTTCACACCAAGGTTCAACTCGAGTTCAACTCGAGTGACAGGACTGCACCCAAAAAAGATCAAACAGGCTAGTAAGTTGCACCCTGCAGGCACGGTGACCAGGTGACTGGCGTACGCAGGAGCACGTGACCGCTTGTTCAACCATGTTCGATTGGGAATAAAGGAGGAACGCTGCATCGCAGCCTTTTCGGACCAAAACCAATCGACTCAGCGTCCAAAAGACTACAACATATGGGCCAATCGCGGTCATCCATGCTTTTATAAGAACGAAATGGCGCTTTTAGTGACATTTTGCATACAAATCCCCATCTAGTAGGGCGCAGTCACCCAGTTTCGGTGGAAGTGCGCGAGTTCGATTGGGATTCAAGTAGGAAGGGAGCGTCTCAGCTTCCTCGGACCACGACCATTCGACTCAGCACCCCGAATACTACAACTGGTGAAATTTTAATTTTTGCCTTAACTTCCCCTTTAAAAATAGAAGACCGTGCTCAAACTGTGGGAAAAAATGAAAGACCGTGCTCAAACTGTGTAGAAGAAAATTGAAGAACGGGATAAAACTGTGTGGCGAGAAATAGAAGATCGGGGGTCAAACTGGGTTGAAAGAATAAAAGACCGTCCTCGATTATAAGGCCGGGTTAGGACGAGGTTGAAAAAAATAGTAGACCGGCCTACTATTTGTGGAAATACGGTAACCCCATATATAGGTCTACTCTTGGTACTAGCCACTGCGAGTGCGAGCCAGGGAGTAGTAATATATCGGTATTTTAGTACTCCCGGCTCAAAATTTGTGAAGGTGTTCTTTCCTCAGCTCCGATCCTCTCGATCTCGTCGACGCGTCGTAGATCTACATCTGCAGTGTACTAGTGTCTGCTTGATCGACATAAACTGCAACAACGACTCTACGAGTAGATCTTCTCCTGTTGCAGGTGGCTGTGAGTGTCAGAAAGAAAGTTTGTGTTCTTCCACTTCGTTTCTATTTACCTCGGACATCATGGGTGTCGATATCGAAGTAGTGAAACCCGGCGATGGTAAATGAATGCAGTGGCTTCACGATGTACTGAAGGCTTCACGAAAGAGTTGGGTACCATTCCCCAGATTCGTGTCTTTTTTGAATTGTTTTCACAGGCAAGACGTATCCCAAGCCACACCAGACAGTTGTTGTCCACTACACAGGTGATTAATCTTGTTCAAGCTGTTCTCTTGCTCATTTTGGGCTCTGTGTGCGATTTTACAAGGGAGTCGCGAATTGGTGTGCATGGCGCCAGTCCACCAATTTACCGTTATAATATATCTACTGTGCCAGCTGTACCAGTTGTCGCACCGGGGGTTTGTGTTTTGTTCTAAATCTCTGAAGGGCCAACATAAAAAAATATAATAAGTTTGTGAAAATACCATTTTGAGAAATAACTCCTAGCACAGGACATGGAAGTGTGTTTCTGGGTCAGAAAATAGCATTTTGAGGGTGAATTTCACTTTATCTTAGAATACATTTTGAAAACAGCAGTAGGATAGGTAAATTCACGAACTCCACCACTCCACACTAGTACACTGCTCTCGTGGCTACATTCCACTTCTTGTTTCTGGCAAAGAGGCTAGCTGCAACAGCACAGCGCAGCCACCACGTAGATCTACTGGACTCACTATCTCGTGACAAAAGCGATGCGATGTCTGTGTACATATTGTGTTAGCTTCCACCCTACGTTTTGTATCTTGCATAAGATTGAGAGTACAGTCATGTACCACCTACACTGCACTGTATGCATCGCGGTTTTATACGAGTCACGGTGATTTTTGAGTAGCAGTAGATTGATTTTTGCATCGCAAACTGTGATGTGATACCTGATAATTCATTCCTGAGCATCTCCAAACAACTATCAGGATAATGTGGCTTGTGTGTGCATGTGCATTGTTGCAGCAGCGATGATAGAGCAGTTTCCTAATTTGCAAGTCAAAAGCCTACTATAGCAATGAAAAATATCAATTGTGCACTCATAACCATGTATAAACAATTAAAATGAAACAATTCCAGAACGTTTTCGTGTGACCATCATCAGTGGAACATCGTCACATAGTAAGAATCACTAAAACAACCAGTTATATAGCTACAGTAATATGAAAAGAAGCGTGAGAATGCAGCACAGCTAGCGGTTATGCATAACGCGTATAGTGTGAACCTTTGCAGTGTATCTGAGAATGGTAGCAGTAGATGAATGTGGCAGCTGTGAGTGCGTGTGAACAAAAACTGGTGAGTGCGTATTATTTAAAAAGTGTGAGTGCTACAACATTTTCTTTTTGCTTGCATAGAACAGGGTCACGTGTGCGAATATATACAGCTTCCAACACCTGCAACTGCTTAAAGAAACGCGCGTGACAAATAACACTAAACCAGGAATCGTCAAACAACTTACGACAATCCGGACTGGACACCAAATGCTTGTAGATGGCAGACTTGCTCTTGTCGATGTCGAACTCCTCCTCGTCCGTATCACTCTCATCCTCCACTTCCTGTTCCTGCTCACCCTTGCTTTCCTCCTGACCATCCTGTTCATCCCCATCATCATCCTCCATCTCCATCTCCTCATGCCATCGCTTCTTTCTCCTTGACGTGTTCACTGCTGCGCCCGTACTTTCACCTGCCACTACTGGTTCCGCCTTCTCCATTTTTCTCAGTCGTGTCTCCGCTAGTCTCTGGCTTCTCCTCAGATTCGTTTTTCCTCCATTTTCATTTCGTTCTCCTGGTGATCTTTCCGTTACCGCCGTCGGGTTTATTAACGAACGATCGTCCGGTGGTCTCCCATGCCGTGTTGTTGTCGTCAAGAGTGACACCAGATTCATGTGTTGCGCTACTGTTGAGTCCGGTGTTGTATCCGTTTCTGGTTGTGTTGTAATACTGACAGGCGTAGTAGTAGGCAACGGGTGTTTTCGTGGCCTCCCACACTTTTTAAATAATACGCACTCACCAGTTTTTGTTCACACGCACTCACAGCTGCCACATTCATCTACTGCTACCATTCTCAGATACACTGCAAAGGTTCACACTACACGCGTTATGCATAACCGCTAGCTGTGCTGCATTCTCACGCTTCTTTTCATATTACTGTAGCTATATAACTGGTTGTTTTAGTGATTCTTACTATGTGACGATGTTCCACTGATGATGGTCACACGAAAACGTTCTGGAATTGTTTCATTTTAATTGTTTATACATGGTTATGAGTGCACAATTGATATTTTTCATTGCTATTTTACGACTGTTGTCTCCTCGTCGGTTATTCAAAAGCCTACTTCTAATGTTTTGTGTGTTGATAATGTTGTTGTTTACGACTTTTGCTTTTGGTCCAGGTACATTGACCAACGGCAAAAAGTTTGATTCCTCTCGCGAAAGGAAGCCACACGGTTTTTCGTTCACCATTGGCGTCGGCCAGGTGATCCGAGGTAGGGAGCACTTTAATTCTTTACAATCAAGTGTGAATAGTATATGTTGGAAAGGAGGAGAATGGGGAGAAGTTGACAAGAGGGGACTGCCACTACGTTGCAAGCTGCTCGAGAATTTGATTCTGCACTTTTTCGGCCTGGCCTGGAAACAATGCACTCACTTGTCATTTTGATCCGTGTGCAGTTACCCGAGTGTGACTCTTACCTCTTTTCTTTCTCCTTTGCGATCGCCTTCGTTACCTCACCAGGGGTCATTTTTGGTGTTTCCTTTTTTTGTGTTTAGGATGGGATGAAGGAGTTATGAAGGTAAGGTGCCAGGTGCTTTTCACTACTGATAATTATTGAGATAGTTCTGGTGTGTATGCATGTAGTTTTTTGGCTATTATTTAGCCGCTTCAGCTCCGGTGCGGCGCTAAACATGGCTGAAATCCAGTGTACTGTATGGTTACGTGCGAAGGCTGTGCCTACTGAAATTAGATCTTGGACAAAGAGCCTGCAAGTCCCTAGGCCCAAGTTTGATGCGGCCGAAAAATTCTCTGTTTGCAGTGTTTATTAAAAGGCTTCTCTTTTCGCACATGTACCATTGGCTTGAACCTTCGTGCAGAGTGGAGCAGCATTATTTATTTTCATGTAGCTTTGGAGAACATGGGGCTGTGCTTGTTTCGAAACTGGTGTGTATTGGGGCGCATTTGTACTCTGTTTCTGGAGTACCGTTTCATTGGCGTGAGGCTGCTCCATGTGCACCAGCTGTTCGATCCTGTTCTAGATCGTATAAACGCGCCTTTGATGTGTCAGGTCAGTTATTTTTTTTATGGTGCTCTGGCTCCACTGTACCCACTTCACAAGTCGGTCGAACTTTCAACCATGGTGCCACTCGTTTTTGTCTAATAGCCAGGCGTTCCTCTTATGATGGAATGAAAATAGGTTTAAAAATTTGTCTCACATGTAGTAAACTGTTGATTGTCCGGTACTATTTTCCATGCCGGCATGTGCTCTATACTAGTATAGTATTGTTTGGATAATGGCAGATGGACACCTACTGTGCAGGTGTGTAAATAAGCAGAAATAAATATGCAGCAATCAAGTATCAATCTCATGTATGAGCCTTGTAGATCTACTATGATGAGACCAGACACCCCCCCCCCCCCCCCCCGTGGGAAGCCGCCAATGTGTGTTCGAATGCGACCCGAAACCAGTCCGGTGAAGTTCGTGCTGTTTCCCACACTCAACCTGCATGTGCTGACTAGTGCTACCGTGAGTACCGTCCCCGTGCTAAAGACTTTGCCGGCCACCTGTACTAGGGTCTCGTTCTCATACAGTGACTCCTTCCAGAAGGATGTCACACAACTCGTCACCTGTGATCTTCTCCGTTACCATATATTTCGTTTGGCGCCGAATTTCTCCGTGCATGCCGGTCCACTTGCACCACTTTCAATTTGAGCATGCACGCACGCGTGTGTGTTGATAAGTGCGGACCGCTTTCAATTTGAGCATGCACACACGCGTGTGTTGATATGTGCGGACCGCTTTCTCGCCAACATGAATTAAGGTCTCACCGCCTCAGGAGTACCCACACCGAACTGTGGAGTACCCGATTTATTCATACTCGTTTGTGGAGTGGGGAGAAGACGTCTATTACTAGTATCACTGACATCACTGTAACGCTTTTCAAGGCTGCAAAACAACAGCTGCATGCGTACTACTAGTACAACCAGGACAACAAGCACAGTACTATTTGTGCTTACACCGCCGTGCTGCTCGAGTTGATTGTCCGTGGGATGCATGCGAATCAAACCTGCTCTCACTCTCTCTCCCTCTCTCTCCCTCTCTCTCCCTCTCTCTCTCTCTCTCTCTCTCTCTCTCTCTCTTGCTTTCTTCGTCCGTAGATGAGCGTTGGAGAGAGGTCCAATCTGACATGCTCTCCCGACTTCGCTTACGGTGAGCGAGGAGCTGGTGGCGTCATCCCACCCAATGCCACCCTCATCTTCGATGTCGAGCTCATCCGAATTGAGTAGGCCGATCCATACGCCACGGGCATATGACCGATCAGCGCCGGCTCCATGTTTTCTAGATTTTCCCATGCCTATTCTTTTTGGTGTCAAATTTCTGCAGTGTTATTCAAGGTGCATTCTGTTACTGGCAATACACTCTGGAGTTAGATTTCTTCAAATTGAGGAAACCTTTTCTTTCTTGACTCTGCCTTTAGTTATAGGTTCGTGTGTTTTTTTTGTTTTCCTCTTATATTGACCTTGATTATTTTAGACATTAGGTTTTTCAGCCATTGCATTTCCCTAATTTATGACGGTGTGTATGTGCGAGCATTGGCACAGATGTGCACACTATAATTGCGGACGACCTGTTTTGGTGCGATGATGGCTTGCGTCCTGTGCTGGTTCTCTGTGCGTACTACTACTACCGTGAATAGTGTGGATGCTGGTGCTTGTGTACGTCACCGATGTGCATCGTGCTGTACGTCAATGTGCATCTGCGCCATACTTCAAGTAACTTGGTAGTGCTTCTTTGTGCATGCACTGGTGAAGAATAGCTGCATGACCTTCAAGGCAACTTTTTCAATTTTGTCTCCTCACCCTTCACACCACTCTGCAACCTACAATGCAACTCTTTCAAGCCGACTGCTGAGGTCATGCAGTGGGAATCCTGCGTCCAAGTCGAAAGTATAGTGATAGCAGAATTAGCATGAAAATAAATAATAGCGCACGGTTACATGTACTGCGCGCCTGTATCCTATTTTATGTTATCCATCATGACTAATGCTTGCCCTAGCAATGAGAATACCGGTATGCAGTTAGGTCTGGCTGTATGCCATTCGACGGTCATGTTTGAAATGCAAAAGCAAGAACCCGTTTACTGGTAATTAAAATGTACTTTTAGAAACCAGTAATGCGCATGCGACAAACAATTGCAAGCATCAGAACGGGATCGTGATCAAGTTGTAACGAAAATATTGCGCTGCCGCTTTGAATGATTTACCAGGCTGATGCTGTGATCAGCTCGGGGTCCTACTGTACTGAATTTGTATATGTTGATGTCCAGAACGAGGTGTGATCAATGAAGTCATTGCATGATCTAGATGTTCATGAACGTCAGTCGATATCTCTGTTCCAAGGGTACCAGGGTTGATACGTTTGTCGTTGCCGTTGACACGCTCCCTCCGCCATCCAATGTGTCGTCGTAGAAATCACCAAGGAGATCTGTGTCGGTGCTCATTGGGCCGCTGTTGGTCGTGTGTGCATCGCTGCTTCTACGGCGATAGTTGCTGCCACTGCTGCTGCTGTCACTAACGGTGCTGATCTCATCAAGGATGTCATCGTCTGCTCCGGACCAGTTACTTATGCTCATCTGTTCTGCGCACTCGCCCTCGTCTTCAAACGGTATTGGTACGTCCAGAGCTGCGTCGTCCTCGATCAGGTGTTGCAACCGGCGGCCAAGGTAGAGGTCCACCTCATCTGCCGGCTGACAGTACGCATAGCCAGTGGCCAACACAGCCACCAGCTCGTCGTCTTCGCCGTCCAATGTCTCGTAACCCGATTGCGGCGGCGGCGCGGGTTCCTTGTCTATGCTCAGCGTGCTATGGTCTATGAAAGACTTGGCGTCGTGTGACAGGCCGCTGCCAATGTCTGGAGTGTCCAGCACCTTCAGCGTCGATCGGCTGCTCGAGTCCAGCAGTCGGTTGCCGAGTACTTGGGGAATGCTACTGGCACACAGGTTGCCGCGTGCCATCGTGTCCGCACCATCATCATCGTCATCGTAGTCGTACTCCAGTTGATCGGCACTGTCGGCGCGGAACAGCTGCTCGTAGTCAATGTGCACGCTGGCTATGTCCAGCTGACCACCGCCCTCCTCGCCGTACTGCATCACGTTACCGGCCGCACCACCCCGTGTGTCCTGGTGGCGCACCACGTCCTGCGATGGCAATCCCACGGTTGTGGTAGCCGTGTAGTTGGTGATGACGTGGTCCACCATGGACTTGTGCTGCAGGCGGCGTATCTTGCGTGTGGAGTAGTGTCGCAGCAGCATTGCCGTGAAGCTGATGACGACGACGATGACCAGCAGGGATATGAGCACGATGCTCACGCTGTCCGAGGCGCTCTCGTTGCCCTGCAGCGGCGCGTTGCCGTACACGCAGCGATATCCGTTCACCAGATCCTGGCAGAGTACAGCGGCTGCAGGGCACGGCCCACTGCTACACTCATCCACGTCCTGTTCGCAGCGCTCGCCGCTGAAACCGCTCAGGCAGCTGCAGATGGCACGCACACCGTTGCGCGTTAGCGCGGTCAGCGTGCCATTGTTCTGACATTGTTCAATCTCGCAGCCGCCGTTCGTCAGGCTGCTCCCACTACCCACAGTATTGGAGAGGACGGAGAAGTGCAGGTTGCGTTTGGCAATGAGCGGAATTTCAAGGCCATCCCAACGCAGATCTGTCAGGCATCCATCGTAGCCAGCGTGTTGGTCGCTAACAAAGATTGATCTGGCGTCAACACGCAGCAGAGTGTCCGTGCCACTTGACGTTGCGCTGGCCTGCCATCGTAGTGTCGGTTCAGCATCGCTGGTGACGATCAGTGATAGCCACGTTCCGATGCGTGCAACGCGGGCTGTGTACCATGTACCGTCGTTGATGGGCAATGGTGTTTCGCTGTGTACTGCGGCCGCCGACCCTAGCTTCATCTGTGCGAGCAGGTGACCTCGAGACAGCTGTGCATGTACATGTACGCACAAACAAAGCAGAGCGTACAGGTGCGTTCTGTGAGGATACTGCAATACACACTTGTGTCATAGCACTATCAACAATTAGATCCTTCAGCCGCACAGTACTCGTATAGTGTTCTAGCGTACAGTGCTGCTCAATGAAATCCAGTCAGGAGTCGCGTCACTCAAGTACATGCCGGGCGTAGTGCAGCCCGAGACCTGCGAACGCTGGGCTGTGAAATGGTGCAAGGTGCAAACTTGAGTGACGCGACTGGATTTCATTGAGCAGGACTGTACTACAGCACCATGGTGTGTGTGTGTACATGACTGGATTTCATTGAGCAGGACTGTACTACAGGACCATGGTGTGTGTGTGTACATGACTGGATTTCATTGAGCAGGATTACTACAGGACCATGGTGTACATGTGATGAGTTCGCAGTGTTTCCGCAACTGTGTGTGCAGTTTGTCTGGACTACAACAGCAGAACCAGTGTGCAGAACAAAATACATCGTGAAACTCAGAGTTACAGAACCGCAGCTGCTCGTTCTTCTGTCTGGGAACATCACACTACATGTAGCTTCTCCGAACATGCTTTTTTATTTTAAAGCAAACAGCATGAAAGCTCAGCATGTCAGGTGAAGCTTTGCATGTCAGGTGAAGCTTTGCATGTCAGGTGAAGCTTTGCATGTCAGGTGAAGCTTTGCATGTCAGGTGAAGCTTTGCATGTCAGGTGAAGCTTTGCATGTCAGGTGAAGCTTTGCATGTCAGGTGAAGCTTTGCATGTCAGGTGAAGCTTTGCATGTCAGGTGAAGCTTTGCATGTCAGGTGAAGCTTTGCATGTCAGGTGAAGCTTTGCATGTCAGGTGAAGCTTTGCATGTCAGGTGAAGCTTTGCATGTCAGGTGAAGCTTTGCATGTCAGGTGAAGCTTTGCATGTCAGGTGAAGCTTTGCATGTCAGGTGAAGCTTTGCATGTCAGGTGAAGCTTTGCATGTCAGGTGAAGCTTTGCATGTCAGGTGAAGCTTTGCATGTCAGGTGAAGCTTTGCATGTCAGGTGAAGCTTTGCATGTCAGGTGAAGCTTTGCATGTCAGGTGAAGCTTTGCATGTCAGGTGAAGCTTTGCATGTCAGGTGAAGCTTTGCATGTCAGGTGAAGCTTTGCATGTCAGGTGAAGCTTTGCATGTCAGGTGAAGCTTTGCATGTCAGGTGAAGCTTTGCATGTCAGGTGAAGCTTTGCATGTCAGGTGAAGCTTTGCATGTCAGGTGAAGCTTTGCATGTCAGGTGAAGCTTTGCATGTCAGGTGAAGCTTTGCATGTCAGGTGAAGCTTTGCATGTCAGGTGAAGCTTTGCATGTCAGGTGAAGCTTTGCATGTCAGGTGAAGCTTTGCATGTCAGGTGAAGCTTTGCATGTCAGGTGAAGCTTTGCATGTCAGGTGAAGCTTTGCATGTCAGGTGAAGCTTTGCATGTCAGGTGAAGCTTTGCATGTCAGGTGAAGCTTTGCATGTCAGGTGAAGCTTTGCATGTCAGGTGAAGCTTTGCATGTCAGGTGAAGCTTTGCATGTCAGGTGAAGCTTTGCATGTCAGGTGAAGCTTTGCATGTCAGGTGAAGCTTTGCATGTCAGGTGAAGCTTTGCATGTCAGGTGAAGCTTTGCATGTCAGGTGAAGCTTTGCATGTCAGGTGAAGCTTTGCATGTCAGGTGAAGCTTTGCATGTCAGGTGAAGCTTTGCATGTCAGGTGAAGCTTTGCATGTCAGGTGAAGCTTTGCATGTCAGGTGAAGCTTTGCATGTCAGGTGAAGCTTTGCATGTCAGGTGAAGCTTTGCATGTCAGGTGAAGCTTTGCATGTCAGGTGAAGCTTTGCATGTCAGGTGAAGCTTTGCATGTCAGGTGAAGCTTTGCATGTCAGGTGAAGCTTTGCATGTCAGGTGAAGCTTTGCATGTCAGGTGAAGCTTTGCATGTCAGGTGAAGCTTTGCATGTCAGGTGAAGCTTTGCATGTCAGGTGAAGCTTTGCATGTCAGGTGAAGCTTTGCATGTCGTAGTAACAATGCGTGCAAATGGCTGGCACTGCGACCCATCTCACCTGCAAGGTCAGTGAAGAGTTGCTGGAGTTGACTTTGAAGATCAGGCCTCCGAGCGCAAACGTCCGCAGCTTCGCGTCGAGTGTTGTGTGTACCTGTTCGTACAGTGCAGAGGCTGCGACTGATGCTGCTGCTGTGGCTGCCGGTGTTTGGCGACGTGAGCGCTCCGGCAACGCTGGCAGAGTGGCTGTGTTTAGCTGATAGCGAATGCTGGTTCCAAGTGTGAATGTAGCCCTGGGTGTTTCTGAAGAACAACCATTGTTGGAAAGTGGCATGAAATAGACAAAATGTGTGAGTGCATAGCTACACCATAGCTCAGTGGGTAGAGTATCGCTGGCCTCAAGCGAAGGTCCTTGGTTCGAGTCCTGGTGGTGACAGTCAATTTTTTTCTTCAGGCTTTTTCCGTTTGCATCTTTCCCTCAAACCAATGGATGCGTGAGCGGGTGAGTGTTTCATCATGGATTATCAAGCAGTGGGTGAGAGGATAAAAACCAAGAGTATGCCGTGAAAATTAGAGTGTGCTGCGGCGGAGCGTCGGACACACTGCGGTCACTATGGTATTGACCCTACCACTCTTTGCCCCCCCCCCCCCCCCCCCCCCAGGTGCCCTGTGCAGGCTTCTACCCAAAGGGCTGTGCGTGTGTACGTGTGTGGTGTGTGTGTGGGGGGGGGGGGCTGTAATGTTTTCACCGAGTGCTGCACCAACACGAACAGTAGGACATGAACTAACTCACCTTGCTGGCATTGCCGAGCCGTGACGTACCCGACTGGGCAAAGACACTGAGGTTCATAGAACCTGGACACCGGGTCATACTGTGTACTGCACTCTCCGATGCTGCTGCAGTTCACCGGCGCAGCGTTGGTCCTGCAGCGCTCGATGCCACACGCAACACCCTGCTCGCACGCCGATGTCAGATAGCTGCAGCCGGGTCTGATGTTGTTCCTGCCCAGCACCAGGCCAGCAGCCGGTCCCGAGTTCTCGATTAAGTTGAGAGCTGGTGTTGTCGCACCGCCGAGTCGCAACTGACGTAGGCAACCGAGGTAGTTGTTGTTGAGCGCGCTAGGACGCGCTTGCCAAACGTGCAGGTACCGAAGATACTTGTCCGGGATGCGTCCAATGAATACGGGTGACTCTAGATGAGCAAATCTGCGCATAGCCACATTGTCAGCAAGAGACCAAGTTGGTGTCACGGTAAAGATGAGTATTGTGAAAAAATGTGTTTCCGGTCACCACAGTGACTTGTGAGCATTGTCTCTATGCTGCTACAAACCCACCCTGAATAAACTACCCGTCTACTTGACTGTTCTACCATGATGGCACTGTCGGTACAGTACACCTAACTGTTAGTTTGGCTTTCATTCCTACAGCGGAGCAGTCGAGTAACACTGATCAAGCTGTGCACTGATGATGTCATGCACCAGTGCATGGACATGTCTGCCTCCACCTGTGCATGCTCTTGCAGCTTAGTATGGAGGGAAAGGCATGGCAGAGTGTCTTATGACCAGGCTTCCTGCATCATGCATACACACAGAAAAAAGAAAATACACTTGCACATCTCCTATCCGGACACCGGAGTTACGGGCACTTCACTCTACCGGGCACCCTTTGGGCGAGTTTTAGTGGAAATGTTTCTACTCTTTTGTCACTTTTCGTGGAAAAAGTGACGCCATATCTATGGCCTTTCCCTATCAGAAGGTATGCGATTCGGAGTTACGGACATTTCAAAGTTACGGGCAGTGCCCGGTCCGGCACTGCCCGGATGAACAAGGTATGAGTGTAATGCGTTGTCCGCTGGAAACGGTGTCAAAAGAGCACTACACACATTATGTTGTGTATCGTGTCGGAGAAAGGTCTTCTGGGGTGTCGTCGAGATCTCGTTGCGACCGTGACTCCTGCTTGTCTCCCTGGCTAGGTGCTGCTTGCTTTGCTTTTTTGCGTAGTGTTTTTGATTATTGTTTACTATTGCGTATTGTTAGTGTTCGTTGTGATTTGGTACAGTACTTGTTACGAGATACGACACATTGTGTAGTGTGTGTTTGCAGCACGAAGAAGACTGCTCACCAGAACGGTTAGCTCAGGAGCTTGGGCTTACCTTGTGCAATCACAGTTCATCAGCTTGGACATTGCGCTTGGTCCCATGCGAATAACCGACTAGAATAGTAATTATTTCTTCGTTGCATTTTTGAATTGTGTTCTTGCTAGCTCGTCGATTTATTTAGTTGATGTGTTGATTTGTGTTTGATTACTTATTTATTTGATGCGCGATTTATGTGCGCTGATTGCGTGATGGCATGCAATTATGATCATGCTTGCGCCAGCTAGCTAGATGCCTGCGCCGCGCACTGATGTTGAATGAGTTAGTATGCGCCCCGCGCTGTTCATGCATATATGGTACATGGTGTGTAATGTTTGCCGCACACGCGCATACGTGCCTCGCCTCGTACTGCTTATGTGCCGCGCGCCGTACTATTGCATGCTGTCGCTTTGCCGCCAAATTTAGCTTCCGCTGTCCGAGCGCTGTACGCTCTTCTGTACGCTCATGCCAAAGTTGGACGCACGGTGTGGCTGGCCAACGCTTTACCCCTCATGCGTTGTTCTTTTCCTTGATGCTTTGGTTTGTTTTCTTTAGTGTTCTAGAGTTCTCTTTCCGATGTAGTTCGTATTTTCCCAGTCTCTTCTTCTCAATGTATTCTACTGTTCATTCATTATAGTCCGTAAAGAATTACGTGACCTTTTGTCTTGTGGCGTCTGTGCGATCCTGAAACTTTTGAGGTGTTAGTAGTGAACACAACATTTTGGCGACCACGCCAGGATAGAGACGCGTGAACATGGATGAGGTAGAAGCGAAGCTGATCGCAAATGGTCAAGCTTATGGCTACACTGGAGAGGCATTGCGTACTTACGTAGAGGAGCGTATCGAGAAGCACGAGGAGAAAGTGCGTGCAGACAGAGAGCGCGACGAACGAGCAGGAAGTAGATTGGAAAGGAAAGATGACGAGCAGCTGCTTGCGAGGATTGCAGATTTGGAGTTGCAAGTCCAGCACGCACGAGAGACTCAGAGTGATGAGAGCACTTTGTTGAATACGACGAATGGCAGTTTAGCGAGCAAGAGGGCTGCCATCAAGATGCCGAAGTTCGACGGTAAGCAGACTGTTGAGACCTATCTCGAACTGTTCGAGGATGTGGCAAAGCAAAATGAGTTCAGCGACGACGAGTACCTGATCCGCTTGCGCGTGGCTGTTGCTGGCAGCAAGTTGGAAGGTGCATGCTATGGCTGCAACACCTTTGCCGAAGCGAAGCGCGAGCTGCTGATGGCGCATGGGAAGACCGCCGACAAAGCGTGGCAAGCCCTGATGGCCATACAGCAGAAAAGTGATGAGAGTTTCTACCAGTTTGTGGTACGAGTGACGCGCGAGACGGAGAAGTGGGCAAAACTCGCCAGGCCTAGCCGTACCTCTAGCCGCGGACAAATCGGTGAGCTGGACGACACTGAATTGTTCGGATGTGTCGTACGTCAAGTCCTGCTAGAAGCTGTGTCGGCAGAAACTAAGGCCTTCTTGATCGAGAAGAGATGTTACACGAAGGACTTGAAGGCGTTTGCGGAGGATGGTATGGCTTACCAAACAGCCCACGGACGTAGCAAGCTGAAGCCTGCCAAGTCTAGCACCAGCGACAAACGTATACCGTTTGCGTCGGCAGAGTGTTTGACGGTCAGCGTTGATGAGGCTAACAAGAAATTGTCAGCTATGGCGTCTGAGCACCCAAACGCGTACGTCAAGGCAGAGGGACTGTGTTTCAACTGCCTGAGACCAGGACATCGAGTGATGAATTGTCAGAACAAGGGTCGTTGCAAGCACTGCAACAAGCGACACCACAGTCTACTGCACAGAGAGGACAAACAGGTAACATCCGAACCGATAGCCGAATCGAAAGTCGGTACGTATGAATGTAGTGCAAACAGCGTGCACTTGATGACCGGCGTGGCTGAGGTACAAGGACCTAGCCGAAAGGCCAGTGTACGCATATTCATCGACCCAGGTGCGCAGGCATCGTTCATCACCGCGCCACTGGTGAACTCGCTGCAACCGGCACACCTTGGATCGCAAACTGTCAGGCTGAAGGCGTTTGACGTGGAGCCGAAGTTTGAAAAGATGGACAGGTACCGTGTCACCATCAAGGGTGCAACGAAGTCCATTTCCGTCAATGCCTGGCAAAAGAAGTCGCTAGGTCTCCGATTCGATCCGCTAGCAGACAGCACAATTGCACGTTGGCAGTCACAGGGATTGCAGCTGTCTGATGACTCGACAAAGGCCGGATCAAGCGAAGTGCACATGCTGATTGGAGCTGACTACTGCAATGAGTTCCTTCTCCGCAAGGAGCAAATCAATGGAGAGACGGCCTGGCACACTGAAATAGGCTGGGTGCTGTCAGGACCGGCTAATAGTGAAACCAAGTCAGCGACCGTCAGTGTGAGTTGTATTGAACTTGACCGACTGTGGAAGATGGAAGAGGTGCCGGAAATAGCTGAGACGTTACCGGACTTCCCGATAGAGCGGCAAGGCCCTCATTACCAAGTGGGATTGCTATGGCGATCTGAGAAGCGTCCGCCAGCCAACCTCAACCAAGCGATGGCAGCGGCACACTCACTGCTGAAGCAGCTACAGAGACGAGGTCAACGTCCAGCGTATGATGACGTCCTCATCACTGAGTACTTGAAGCTGGATGCCATTGAAAAGGAACCGCATCCGGAGGAAGCCGGCTATTACATGCCGCATCATGCCGTATTCCGAAGCGACGCCTCAACGACGAAGACACGGGTCGTCTTCAATGCATCCGCCGCCTGCACCGGAGCACCATCCCTAAACGACATGGTCGATCCCGGGCCATCACTCCTACCGGATCTCACTGGTATCCTCCTCAGGTTCCGTGAGTATGAATGTGCTGTACAAGCCGATATTCGCAAGGCTTTTTTTATGATCGGAATGCGTGAAGAAGATAGGCCATATCTGCGTTTTGTTTGGCCTGAGATAGGTAGCGAAGAAATGTGTATCTGGCGTTTAAAGAAGCTGCCTTTTGGAGTGAATTGTTCTCCTTTCATACTTAGTGCTGTGCTGCGCTTTCATCTCGATAGTGCATTCGAGTCTGCTTCTGCTGCTGAGCGTGATATCATAGAGCTGCTGCTGCGTAGTTTTTATGTTGATGATTGCGTTTCTAGCTTGCCATGCTGTGCGGATGCTGAAAAGCTGCAGGAGTATAGCGTTAATGTTTTGCAGGGAGCAGGCATGGAGTTGCAGAAGTGGCGAGGGAACACGATGACCTCAGACCCCAAGGCTGGTTCCAAGGCACTGGGTATTGTGTGGAACACCGAGTCAGATTGTATTTCGGTGGCTGCGCTCGGTGATGTTGAGTGTCCCAAGGAAGTGTCTGGTTGGTCTCGTCGTGCGTTGTTGCGTTGTGTTGCCGCTGTGTTCGATCCGCTAGGTTGGGCGTCACCCGCAGTTGTGCCAGGCAAGATGATGTTGCAAGAGAGTTGGAAGCTCGGCGGTGGTTGGGATGACCCATTCCCTATTGATTTGGCTGTCCGATGTGCTTCATGGTGGGGAGAGCTCGCAGCGCTTTCTTCCGTTAAAATCCCCAGATGGATCGGGTGTACTCCAGATGCTCCAGTCACGTTGCATGTATTCTCAGATGCATCCGAGAAGGGCTATGGCTGTTGTTTCTATGTTGTGTCCGGTTTGACGTCTTCTTTGTTGTGTGCGAAGGCGAAGGTTGCACCTGTTGTACGTCCCACTCTTGCGCGTCTGGAATTGTCGGCTGTGTGTCTTGGCGTGAAGATGTTGTCCTTTGTCGTCAATGAATTGAGAGTGCCAATTGAAAGGATTGTGGGGTGGACAGACAGCCTAACCACATGGCACTGGATCTCAAAGCCGTCGTATCACTGGAAGACGTATGTTGCTAATCGAGTTGCTGCAGTGCAAGAAGTTTCGCAGAAGCTGCAAGTAGAATGGCGTCACTGTCCAGGAGTTAGCAACCCTGCAGATCTTGTCTCGCGTGGTGTCCCAGTGTGTGACTTGCAGAAGGAGATGTGGCTGCATGGTCCGTCATGGTTGAGCGATGAGTCTCAGTGGCCACCAGTCATCTCGTTTCAGAGCACCAATGAGTCCGTCACCGAAGCACGCGTGTCGGCTGTGGAGGTTGACACTCCAGTTGTTTGGCCGTGGGAGAAGTTCTCCAAGTGGCAACGAGCTCGCGGTTTGGTCGCAAGTATGCTGTCATGGCGACACAAGGGTGTTTCGCGTGCAGAATTGATTCCATCTGCTGAGTCTGTGATGTTTCGCGCCATCCAAGAGCAATGCTTCCCCAAGGAGTTGTCCCAGTTGCGGAGCAAGGAGCCACTGAAGAAGGGTTCGAAGCTGTTCAAGTTGTCTCCGTTTCTGGATGAAGCTGGTTTGCTGAGAGTTCGTGGTCGTCTGCAGGAGAGCGATCTGTCCTACGAGGTTCAGCATCCGATCATCCTGGGCAGATGTCATCTAAGTGAGTTGCTTCTGCGTGATGCTCACCTTCAGCGAATGCACCAGGGTGTAGAGAGCGTGCTTGCGTTTCTACAACAGCAGTTCGGGATTCTCGGAGCTCGTCGGTTTCTTCGTAGCGTGTCGAAGAAGTGCATTGTTTGCCGCAGATTTCGCGCACAGACTGCTGCTGAGGAGATGCCGCCGTTGCCCTCAGACAGGGTGAAGCACCACCAGCCATTCGGTCTCACAGGTATTGATTATGCAGGTCCGTTGTACGTGCGCAGTTCATCAAATGTTCAGAAAGTGTGGGTCGCACTCTTCGTGTGCGGTACTACTCGCGCAGTGCACCTAGAGCTCGTGGATAGCCTGTCGACAGAGGTGTTCCTGCTAGCATTGCGTCGTTTCATCGCCCGTCGTGGGAAGCCGCTGCGTATACGTTCAGATAATGCTACGACGTTCAAGTCCGCCGCAGACAAGGTGGCAATCCCGTGGTTCTTCAATCCGCCATCTGCCCCGTGGCATGGAGGGTTCTATGAGCGTCTGGTGGCATGTGTGAAAGCTCCCTTGAAGAAGGTTCTCGGTCGAGCGTCATTGAGTCGAGACGAGCTGTTCACTGTCTTGACGGAGATCGAGAGAGTCGTCAACTCTCGACCCCTCACTCCGGTTTCTACGGATGTAGCTGACGAGTCGCCGCTGACTCCAGCCATGATGTTGGGAGACATCTTTGCAACCGGTATTGCCTCGTCTGACAGACCACTCGATCCACGGCAGTTGTCCGCTCGAGTCAAGTATGTCCACACCGTCTATGAGCACCTCAACCAGCGGTGGTCGTCTGAGTATCTCATTCGTCTCAGTGAGTATCATCGGTCGAAGTCAACTCCGATTGTCGTGAACGACGTTGTGTTTATTGCCGACGACAACCGGAAGCGGCAATCATGGCGCTTGGGTAGGGTCGCAGAGCTGTATCCTGGAAGAGATGGCAAGTGCAGGGTGGCCAAAGTCCAAGTTGGCCAATCGTCCATGCTACGGCCCATTCAACGCTTGGTTCCGTTGGAAGTAGCGAAGGAGCATGTTGAGCCGCCTGCTGTGGACGCTAAGCCGCAGCCGCAGACACCCGCGAGCGCTGATCCAGTCAACGTCGTCGATGATGTTGAAATACCTTCGACGACCGTTGAACCGCAAGTTACGCGTCGATCTCGTCGTACCGTTCGACCACCACCTCGTCTTGATTTGTGATCAGTGTGGTTGAAGCCCTTTGGTGGGGAGAATGTTGTGTATCGTGTCGGAGAAAGGTCTTCTGGGGTGTCGTCGAGATCTCGTTGCGACCGTGACTCCTGCTTGTCTCCCTGGCTAGGTGCTGCTTGCTTTGCTTTTTTGCGTAGTGTTTTTGATTATTGTTTACTATTGCGTATTGTTAGTGTTCGTTGTGATTTGGTACAGTACTTGTTACGAGATACGACACATTGTGTAGTGTGTGTTTGCAGCACGAAGAAGACTGCTCACCAGAACGGTTAGCTCAGGAGCTTGGGCTTACCTTGTGCAATCACAGTTCATCAGCTTGGACATTGCGCTTGGTCCCATGCGAATAACCGACTAGAATAGTAATTATTTCTTCGTTGCATTTTTGAATTGTGTTCTTGCTAGCTCGTCGATTTATTTAGTTGATGTGTTGATTTGTGTTTGATTACTTATTTATTTGATGCGCGATTTATGTGCGCTGATTGCGTGATGGCATGCAATTATGATCATGCTTGCGCCAGCTAGCTAGATGCCTGCGCCGCGCACTGATGTTGAATGAGTTAGTATGCGCCCCGCGCTGTTCATGCATATATGGTACATGGTGTGTAATGTTTGCCGCACACGCGCATACGTGCCTCGCCTCGTACTGCTTATGTGCCGCGCGCCGTACTATTGCATGCTGTCGCTTTGCCGCCAAATTTAGCTTCCGCTGTCCGAGCGCTGTACGCTCTTCTGTACGCTCATGCCAAAGTTGGACGCACGGTGTGGCTGGCCAACGCTTTACCCCTCATGCGTTGTTCTTTTCCTTGATGCTTTGGTTTGTTTTCTTTAGTGTTCTAGAGTTCTCTTTCCGATGTAGTTCGTATTTTCCCAGTCTCTTCTTCTCAATGTATTCTACTGTTCATTCATTATAGTCCGTAAAGAATTACGTGACCTTTTGTCTTGTGGCGTCTGTGCGATCCTGAAACTTTTGAGGTGTTAGTAGTGAACACAACACATTACAATAATTACCTGTATGTTGCTGATAAGGCGATGCTGTCTGTGCACAGTGTAGGGTCAAGAGCTGCAGCTGATGATGAGCAGCCATCCAGGGTCAACTCGATTCTCTGTAGTGCACAACAGGCATATCATAAGTTAGTAGCAAAAACCTCACCATTATTGTCTTGTCGTTTCAGTCACCAACAGTCGTCATCATCGGTAGTATCACCACTGCACACTAGTAGTTCAGTAGGTACATTGAGCACACACACACGAAGTAATCGCCAACCAACCATAATGATCACAGCCAATACATGTATTGGAGTGAGTACAAAATGAAAATGCAAATACCAGTAAGTACTCTTCAGGCCTAAGCATCATCAAGGATACAAACATACAGTGTTCCTCCAGCGCTGCAAACACCTTATTGACATCAGACAGCAGTGTGAGTCAGTGTCTGTCGCTCATTAACGCAAAGAACAAGTATTGAGGCCTGTTGGTCATTCAAAATATTGTCACCTCCTGTCTGCTGTTCTCTGTGTTCATAAGGTGTGTATTGCACTAGAAATGGAGCATTTCTGCATGTTTTGTTTCCCTGGTGATGCTTGGCGCCGGCGAGCACTATACATGTGGTGCTCTTCAGGTGCTAACGTCCTCAGCCTACTCAAGCTCAGCTTCTGAAGGATGACGCCCCTGAAACACAGGAGCAGCAGGGAGCTGAGATTGATGCTTTGTTGCGGGTTTGCCAAATAGAAGACTCAATGAGCCTATAATGTACCATGGATGGCAGGCGTGAGTCATTCAAGTGCCAAGTCAAGATAGCGGGAAAAGTGCAAGCTTGAACGTTGCAAGCAACCGACTTTTTTCATTGATACCGTGCCGCCCATTGCACAGCCTGGATTTGTTTCACTTGAAACACACATTCCCTAAAATAAGATTCTCAATTCCGACTACCCTGAATTATGAGTTCGGGATAAGTGCAATGAAGTTCATATCAACTCTTCTATGCTCTTACATCCACCATGAAAACTAGTTGTATCAAATGCCACTGGCTGTCATCCACTTGACTCCTGGCCATTGCTCTTCTCACTTCTCCATTGGATGACATCTCAAAGGTGACACGCCCGTCCGCAATGAAGATGGCGATGTAATCACCACCTGCCTCCTGTTGCAGTTGACTGGAATACAGCAGCAGAGTACTGCTAGCTACCGTGCGTATCTGCACCGACATTGCAAACATCTGGCTTATGTCGAACCGCCTCAGAATGAGCGTGGATGTGTTCGTGAAAGTTGCATTTGTCATGGCGTCGCACTCCGTTGCACCGAACAAGTTGCACTGTTGGTCCACCTCCACTGGCGGTCTCAGAAGCACTTGGCAATTGCTTCCAGTCAGACTTTCATTGCACACACACCTGTAGCCGACCCCACTCCCGTCAGCACCGCTAGCTGTGTGTATGCATGTGCTGTCACCCAGGCATGGATTAGATAGGCACGCGTCCACAATGCTCTCACTACACACGCCACTGCTACTGCCGGCAGCGTTGCTGTTTGCCTGGATGATGTGCTGTGGATGACATACACAGACCGTACCTGTAGAGTGATAGTGAGACTGATACGTGAACTCTCCCACGTCCAGTGTTATGGCCGCCCGTTGACCGTAGGTGTCCTTTTCGCGACATGTGAACATTCCCGCGCCATTGCAGGCAGACTGCGAGCAGCGCTCTGAGCGGACAGCGGACACTTGCAAGTCCAGCCGGCGCGATAGCACCTCCAACGACCGCTGCAAAGCATCACGGAACAGCGTTCTCTGCAAGCTGCTAGAGACTGAAACAGCGAGCTGTCCCTGTCCAGCATCTTGTATGGAAAACATAGTTACAGCGGCGGTGGCAGCGGAGTCCACATACCTTTCTGCTACCAGCAAATCAGATATGATAGTTGCTAATGTGGATGTGCCAGTGCAATCGGACTTCAGCGACATCGCTCGAGCAAACTCCTCTGCAGAGTTGGCCGTCACCAACAGTACGGACGCGGCGTCAAGCTGTCCGGACGTCACACGTCTCACGCACACGCTGGCGTTGGACAGTGTATGGCCTGCGGCGTCTGCTACCCGTACGGACACGTCGTACAGCGCCGGTGGTAGGGCGGGGCCAGGGGCCAGAGACAGGTGGCACTGTGACTCATTGCGAATGGCGAAGAACTCGCCAGCGGGCTCGATGCCGTGTATACAATATGAATACGTGGAGACTTGCGAATCCCGGTCGTCGACAGCAATGCAGGCAATGGAGTTGTTATTCGTTGTGTCACCGAGTTGTGTGACTATAGCACTGGTGTGCAGTCCTGTTGGAGGTAGATCATCCACGTTGGTTACAAACACTGTAAACTCCACACTATTGATAGTCTCGAATGATGGCTGCCCAGTGTCTTGGCCATAGATGTGGACGCCGTACAAATGACGACCTTCAAAGTCAAACGGCCGATTGGCCACAAGAGCCGACCCGACCATTTTGAAGTTGTCCGTGTCGTTGACAAAGTACATGACAAGTGAATTGGCACCCTCGGCATCCAAATCTTGTGACGACAACATCACTATCGGTGATCCACTGACATCGTTTTCCGGCGTTGCATGTAAAGTGAAGTTGTCAGGTGCTACAATCTCTGGCTTGTTATCATTCTCATCGTCCACGATCACCTGCAGATACGTTGAGCCTGACAGAGAGTGTGGAATTTCGCCAGCATCGGTGGCAATAATCTCCACTGAGTACGTGTCCACCAGTTCTCGATCTAGCAGTGCGGCCGTGCGCACTTCTCCGGTCGTCGCATTTATGGCAAACGGCAGCAATGCATCTGTGAGGCTGTAAGTGAGCTGTGAGTTGATTCCAGAGTCCTCATCCATTGCTGTGATTCGGGTGATGACGCGGCCAGGGTGTTCGTTTTCCACAGCTCTCGCCGAGTAAGAGTTGAGTGCGAATCTTGGCCTGTTGTCGTTGTTGTCCAGAACAGTAATGATGAGCTCTGCAGATGAATGTTGCGGTGGTAGGTCACCATCGCTTGCCTGTACTCGTATGCTGTACTCCCGCTGGCCCTCAAAGTCAAGAACTCCTTCTCTGGTCAGCTGCACTGTGCCGGAGTTGGAGTCGATGTGGAACAGGCCGTTTCCTGTCAGCAGATCATAGCGCACTGTTCCGAATGCTCCCGTGTCTGTGTCTGTGGCCGTGATTGTGGCGATTCTGGTCGAGCTCGGTGCTGTTTCATTCACGCTGGCCAAGATGGACATGGGCTGGAAGACCGGTGAGTTGTCGTTGACGTCCAGTACACTGACTCTGATAGTTGTGCGTGCTGTTAACTGCGGTGTTCCACCATCGGCCACCTCCATGACCAGATCATGCTCTGCTATGTGCTCGCGATCCAGCGAGGCAATGATCACCACCGTCCCCACAGAGGGGTCCAGCAAGGCGAACGAGCCATTGCCATCATCGAGCAACGCGTAGGAGAGTCTGGCGTTAACACCGATGTCCATGTCATCCGCTATTACCTGCAGCAACGTGCCCGGGAAACCGTTGTTCTCAGTAATACTCTGCCTGTAGGGAGCACCGAGGAAGAACGGCGTGTTATCGTTGACATCGGTGATTGTTACGCTGAGAGGGACGCTTGTGCTGAGGCCACCAGCGTCCTCCACACGTAGAATGACGGCATACGTGTCCTGCTCTTCACGGTTCAGCACGGCTTTCGTTCTGACAGCGCCCGTGGCCTCGTCCACAGTGAACTCATTGCTTGCAAACTGCAGGGAGAAGGTGAGCGGGCCAAATATGTGCGAATCCGCATCCGTTGCATTGACCTGGATTACTGCAAAGCCTGGCAGCTGAGCTTCTTGGACGGACGCCTGAAAAAGCTGCTGTGAGAACTGGGGAAGATTGTCATTCTCATCAAGGATTGTGATCTGAATATGGCACAGGTCCATGAACACTCCATCAGAAACAGTAACATTAAGCACATACGCTGATTTTGTCTCGAAATCTACATCTCCCAGTAGTAGAACATTGCCAGCCGAATCCAAACGGAAAACTGGTGCCCGCGTGAGCAGGTTGTGATTTCCACCTGTGATATTGAAGTGCAGGCGTGTGTTGCTGTCCTCATCAGTGACCACTAGACGCCCCGTTTCCCGACTCATGTTCACCAGCGTTCCAGGCACGCTATTCTCCGCAATCCGTCCGGCGTAGAGGCGGTGCGAGAAAATCGGCGGATTGTCGTTGCGATCAAGAACCTGAATGAACACCGTTGCCGGTGGTGCGGCAAAGCGCTGCGGTTCACCATTGTCACGTGCTGCGATGGTGAAATCATAGGTGTCTTGTTGCTCCCGGTCAAACACGGCCAGGCTCGTCACGGCAAGTGTGGTCGTGTTGAACTGAAACTCTATGTCACCCGGTGAAGACGGCAAGAAGTAAACGATGTTGCCGCCGTCGCCGATGTCAGTGTCAAACGCGCCGATGGGAACGCGCAGGTGCACTGAACTGCCCACCGGCTCGTTCTCGAGCACTTCGCCTTGGAAGACTTGACTGTTGAACGTCGGCGGTCTCAGGTTGCGCTCCGTCTGCAGGATGGTGAGCAGAACGCTGGCTAGTGCCTCGCCACCCCGGCTGTCCTGCACTTTCACTCTACCTCTGATCTCCTGAACGAACGCAAATTGTGGAACGCTGAGCAGAGTTACCACACCAGTTGTGGCGTCCAAAGAAAACACAGTTAATATCCGAAGCAGCTCCTCTTGCGTGTCGATATCCCATAGATACACCAGCGGCAGGTTTTCCGGGTTGTGCGTGGTCGCTGTAACATTGAAGACTACCTCGCCGGCACGATCGGAGTCCTCCGACAGTTTCAGTTCAAACAGAGTCTCGTTAAGCACCGGTGGGGCATCGGCAGCTAGCACCACGTCCACACACACTCCGATCCTGCTGAACCGAGGTGGACTGCCCAGGTCAGTGGCTTGGATTTGAAATTGCCGCTTGCCAATGCCGCTGATCAGCCGTGACACGGTCAGCTGGCCGGTGTCTGCGTCAACCCTGAACTCCAATCCTGGCGGCGACGGCGGTGGCAGCGGCGTGGAGATGTTGTAGTAAACACGGGCATTGCTACCAAAATCACAATCTCTCGTGGGCAGCGAGCTTATCAGTAGTGTCCCGATCGGCACGCCTTCCGCCAGTTGAAACACGTAATCTGTATTGGTGGCGAACTCTGGAGTGCAGTCATTTCTATCCTCTATCAACAGTGACACGCTGGTGAATCCACGCAGGCCACCGCCATCTTCTGCCGTCACCGTAACCGTGTATGTGTTGCCAGTCGTTGGACGCGTTGTGTCAAATTTCAACGTGCGTGTCAGCGTCAGCTCTCCGCTGCTGGTGTTCAGCGAGAAGTGATCGCTGAGATGGCCGGGCAGGATCTGATAGACAAACTGCCCAAGAGGCCCACGGTCACCGTCTGTTGCATTCACCCGCGCTATAACCGTGCCGGCATTGACCGGCTCCAGCAACGTGCTAGTGTATAGGTCCGCACTGAACTGCGGCGTGAAGTCATTCTCCTCTATGACATGGACTGTTATTGCTGCGTAATCCTCAAACAAGCCGTCCGTCACACCGATGCTTAGATTATAGACGGGTTGCTGTGCGACGTTGCTACGATTAACACTGACAATGCCCGTTTCCTCGCCGACAGAAAACTGATCACCGCCAGGGCTGCTATCATCAACTAGCCAGAACACGAGGGGTGTCAGTCGGCCATCGTCGTCTATTGCCGTTACCGTGGTCACGATCTCAGTTACATCGATGCTCTCCAGAACGCTGATGTTCCGCTGCGGCGTGAGAAACCGAGGTGGATTGTCGTTGATGTTTCTGACAAACAGACGCACCGGCACACGGCTTTCTTGCGGCGGCTGTCCAAGATCCGTGACGACGGCCGTCCAGATGTAGGATGTTTCATTCTCGTAGTCGAGTTCCTGCTGTAGAACAATGCTGCCATTGCCGGGAGTGAAGTCAATGATGTCTGGAGCACCGTCCATTGTGATGCGTGTCATTCCTGCCAGGCCCGAGTCCCGGTCCGAGGCGTTCAGCTGGAATATCTGGAAGCCGGGTACATTGTGTTCGTCCAGCGTGATCGTGTACAGCTGAGAGAGAAACGAGGGTCTGTTGTCGTTCACATCCTCGACGGCAATGGAAACCAGGGCGTCATCGAATATGTGAGGGTTACCGCGGAATGGAACGCTAGCTCTCAGGATCAGAGAATAGCTTCGCTCCTGCTCGAAATCTAATGCCCCGGTGAGAAATAGCTTTGCACTGATCTCGTCGAGCCGGAACTGATTCGGATCACCGCTCTGTAGTGTGTACCTGATAGATGAGTTGTCCAGAGGCGATGCAGCACCGACTTGAAGCAGGAAACTATCGCTATCTTGATCTTCCTGCACCGAGATGTTGTAGGAGTCCTGTCTGAACGAGGGCTTGTTTTCATCCTGGACGGTCAGAACCAGTCGCTGCTGTGTGGCAAGTGATGGTGTACCCAGGTCTCTAGCTTCCACCAGCAAATTGAACTCATTCACAATCAAGGACTGGAGCGCACGCTGGACACGGAGTATTCCTGTACGATCTTCCAGGATGAAATGTTCGTTGGGATCTCCAGACAGCAAGTGGAAGGTGATGACTCCATTGCTACCAATGTCCCTGTCAGTGGCACTAAGCTGGAGCACCAGACCTCCCAGGGATGTTGTGTCCGCTGCCGTGTACTTGTACGACCCAGCAGCAAACACTGGCTGGTTGTCATTGCTGTCCAGCAAGTGCACACTTACGGCCGCAGTGTTGACTCTGAGCAGCTCACTTGCATCTTGTACCTGCACGTAGATGGTGTGCAGTGGCATGGATTCCCTGTCCAGTGATCTCGCAACACGAACAATGCCCGAGGCGGCGTCCACCGAGAACGAGCCTTGCGGTGGTAGCAGAGTGAACAGGTATCGCCTTTGTAGGTATGGAGTGCTTGGGAGTAGATCACTCACTGTTAGCGTGGTCACTGGTGTGCCTGCCGTGGCCGCTTCTGATACGGATGCATTGAAGACGGGCTCGGAGAACATCAAATCAACAGTTGGCTGCGTTGAGAAGCGAATGTGTACAGTTAGATTGCTGTCACTCCGGTGAAGACCATCACATGCCTGTACTACAAGGCTGTACATACTGCTGAGGTTGTAGTTGACTATCAGAGCAATATCGCCGCTGCTTTGGTCGATGCTGAAGTCCCCGGCAGCATTGCCTGCTACTATGTTGTATAGAAGTTGACTTCTCTCATCAGCATCCCGAGCATTGGCAGTAGCGACAGTGAATCCAGCTGGGACCAGTGCTGGAAGTGAGACGTTCACTTCGGCGCGAGGAAACACAGGACGATGGTGATTCACATCCTGAATGTTGATCGCTATCATGGCTTGGCTCTTCAGTGCGGGATTTCCACCATCTGCTACAGCAACTATCATGACAGCCCGGCGAACAGCAATACCAACCAGTGCCCGCTGCAAGACAATATGTCCGCTGAGTGCTTCAACAGAGAGATACAAATGAAGACCGCTGTCTACGTTGAGTAGTCTGAATTCCACCTTTCCAAACGGACCTGAGTCCTGATCAGTGGCAGATAATCGTGCCACGGTTGTGTTGACAGGTGTGTCAATACTGATGTTAACTGGCGATGAGGGAGCAGTCAGCTGAGGAGCATTATCATTCAGATCAAATAGTCTTACATTGATTTGTGTGTGCGTGATTCGTCCCTGTTGGTCAGTGGCCGTGGCCAGTAAGCTATGACCCAGCTCGTCCACCTCTGCATCCAGAACTGTGCGAGTTACCAGGCGACCAGAATGCACTTCCAGCACGAATTCAGCCGACGGCTCAGCCAGTGCATACCGCAATGCTGAGCTGGAAGTAGCATCTACTTGACCAACGACCGTTCCCGCCACCCGGTTCTCTGGGATACTCCAGTTGTAGGAGGTCTGAGCAAATCTGGGAGGCTGCTCAAATGCTGATACCAGGACTATGCGGAGCTGTGTCGTTGCGTTCAAACTTGGCTCTCCGCCGTCCTGTACAAATACGGTGAGATTGATGTTAGATTGGTTGGTGCTGCTCAGGGTATGCTGTAGGCTTACTGCGCCTGTGTCCTGGTTGATAGCAAACAGCATGCCAGTATCACTATCACTATTCTCAGTTGCTAGGATTGAGTAGACTAGCTTGCCGTTGCTACCTGTATCCAAGTCTACAGCCTGTACATAGGCCACTGTCTTGCCGACAGTAGAGTTTCTCTGAACCCAGGCGGTGTATGACGGCAGCAGAAAGTGTGGCTGGTGCTGATTGCTCGTCGGAGAGGAAACAAGGATTTGGGTGCAGTCGAAGAGATCACTAGGTATGGCACTGATGCTTGCGCACACAGTCAGTGTCTCTGCTAGCCCTGGCTCGATACGCAGGGTAGACGTATAATTGAGGCAGCCTGACCGAGCATCCACGCAAAAACGTTTCAGGCAAGACTTAGTCGGTGCATCCAGAAAGTAGTAGCTGAGAGCAGTGCTTGATGGGTTGGGCAGGTATGCGGCCACACAATCAATCAAATCCCCCGCACCCGTACCCAGTGGTATGGGAAATCTGTACAGAGACTGGTTGAACTGAGGTTGCTGGAAGGTTGCCACTGCCACATGGTTATTGACATGTACAGTCACGTCGGCAGTGCTTGAAGGGCCACCGCGTGCACATTGCACTGTCAGCACGAACATTTGATTGAGGACCAGACTGGCAGCAGCAAGTAGTGTCGCAGAATTCGGCAGGAGGACGAATGCACCACTGCCTTCGCCACTCAGTGTACAGTGGTACGGTGGCAATGCTAGCTCACTTGGTACCGGATCAAGGATTCCAATCACAGTACCGATTGTTGCATTGTCGCTGGCATCGAAGAAATAGCTGGTCCTGCTCAGTCGGGGCCTGCTGCTTGTGATTGATGTGGCAAGGATGACGGACACATTCAGAGTACAGGCTCCGATTAGTGACGGCATGCCCATATCTTCAATGTAGATTGTATCCAGGATAGTCCCAGCCTGCTCTGAACGCAAGTCACTTGTCAGGCGCACATGTCCAGAGAGTGGGTCCATGTGAAACAGACCACTGCCGGTGACATTGAGGAAGCGGAATTCACCATTCGCGCCCTGGTCTGCATCGCTGGCGATCACCCTGCTCACGACGGTCTCTGCGATGAAGTTGGAGTAGATGGAAATTGTTGTCGTCTCACCGGTGCAGGTCGGAGCGTGCTGGTTGGCAGTCTCTCTCACCGTGATTCTGACAAAGCAAGAGGATGTAAACTGTGGTTCTGCCTGGTCATAGGCCTGGATTCGGATTGTCTGGACATTGCCATGGCGCGTGTCAACAAAACTCTCGTTGTTCGTGACCAGCATGTACAGGTCAGTGTCTTTGATCTGCAGCAGGTCCAGACCAGTGTTGGTGTGTGCCGCCGCACTGCCGTCTGCCTGCAGGCCCACAACAAGTTGACGGCCAGTGTCCGCATCCACTACAGCAACGACTGCGATGAGAGTGCAATGTGCACCGGGTGTTAGGTCAGACTCCGGCACACTCAGGTGGTACAGTCCCCTTGAGAATACTGCTGCGTTGTCGTTCTCATCCGCTATGCGAAACTGAACACGAGCAGAGGAACGCTGTGGAACAGCGCCGTTATCAGTTGCCGAGATGAATGCCAATAGTCCATTGGTAGTCTCGTGATTCAATGAGGCTGCTACCCGGAGTTGCCCAGTGGTGGAATTCACACTGACATGTCCTATTGCTGTGCCATGATCCATGAAATAGACCAACGATGAGCTGTCCGGATCATCTGCCGGTACATTTCCAACGATTGTAGAGATTGCTGTGTTCTCGGAGAGGTTGAAGGCGAGGAAATCCGAGGGCAGGAACCTTGGCGCATGGCGATTACTTGACACTGGTCGCACATGAATAGTCACCGTGATGTCTGTACTCAGCACTTGTGGCCCGAGCTGTGCAGATTCTGAGATGCTCAGAAGGATGGTGTGTTGGCGCTGTTGAGCATGGAACAGGTGGCCGACACTAACCAGAGTCAGTGTATTCTGCAGCACTGAAAACCCTTGACTCTCTCCGTGCAGTGTCATGTGAAAGCTGGTGTCAGCTGTTGGCGGTTCACAGCGCACGTTAAGAATGGCAGAGCCTCCCGGAAAGTCCTCGTCCAGCTCAACAGTCCGATTCGTGGGTCCACATTGTGGATAGCGTGGCTCGGCTGGCCGCACACGCACAACTGCTCGGCCAGAGGACTGCAAACCACCGTTCCGTACAGCGATACTAAGGTAATGGACTCTAGGTTCTGGCAGGAGCTCAGCTGATAGGCTCAGTGACCCCGTGTTGATGTCCAACTGGAACGGCTGTTGCCGCTGCTGCGATGGAAAATCTTGCAGGTAGAAAACTGCCTCTCTCTGCTCTGGTAAGCGATCAGCGTCATTCACATTCAGCGATCCTAGAAGAGATCCTGGAGATAGCGCTGGACTCACAGTGAACTCTTGTATGGCAGGTTGTAGCAGGGTGGGATAGAAGTTGCCGCTTACAATGGTCACCGCGATAATCTGTTGCTGGCTATAGTGCCTGGGTGATCCTAGATCCATTGCTTCAATGTGCAGCAAACGTGTATTGCTGCCATTACCACTGCGCTGATGGTGATCTCTTAGACTGCTTGCTATGGCTACTGCTCCGGAGAACGCGTCGATAGCAAACTCTGTGCTTGCCTCGGCCAGGCGATACAGGATTCTGGCATTCGGACCCGCATCTGCATCGCTGGCTTCCACTACATCGAATGCAGTGCCAACGCCTGCATCAGCCTGCACCTGGATTCCTGTGAGCGTCAACTCCAATACCGGTGCATTGTCATTCTCGTCGGATACCTGGATAATGATTTGAACAGCTTCAGACTCGAGCGATGCCGTACCATCTCCTGGCAAGTCGAAGGCCGTGCAAACCTGGATATACTGAGCCACATGACCTTGTAGGCTACCTGCCACTGAGAACAAACCATCAGTAGGCGAGAACGTGATCAGTTCTTCCTGACCACCTGACGCTGGTGTACAGTTGTAATTAACCGTGTCAAATCCATTGTTGCCACTTTGAAGATGGCTGTTGCTGCTGTCGTCGTCGACTGCCGTCAGTTGAAAGATACTTCCGTTTGTTTGCAGCTCGCTGACCGTTACATAGTACGCGCTGAGAGTAAACCGCGGTGCAAAGTGATTTCCCAGTTTGAGAATAACGGTGATAGTTATCTGACTACTCTTCGGTATCGATGCTACACTAGTGGCTACAATCGTCAATTGTATGACTTCGCCATCAAACTCTGCTGGAATAGGGCTACCAATTTGAAGCTTGCCCATTTCTGGGTTCATTGAGAAGTTTCCGGCACCAACGCCTGACTCAATGCTGTACAACACATCAGTTGAGTTTGTGAATGGATCAAAGTTGGTAGCAATAAAACGAGCTACACTTTGACCGACAGGTGTTCCTGTGCTTACAACCACCTGCGACTGTGTATCTGCGATGAACTGGGGAGTCAGGCTGAAGGCGGGTTTTATCAGGATTGAGACGGTTGTCATGGAAATGAGTTCTTTGGTGGCTCTGTGCCGAACATCAATACTTATGTGGTGCAGTTGTAATTCCCCAGGCAGTGTTGATGCAACGGACACAATACCGGTCAGTTCATCCACGCTGAAGAATTGTGTGGAGTTTGCAGTGATACCAGACATGGAAAATTGCAGGCAGCTGTTGCTCAAAGATGTGTTGTGGAAATCCCCAATGCGAATGATACGCGTTCCGTTGGTTGCTACATGCCAGACTTCGGTGGAGTGGTGTGGCAGGATCCTAGGCTGGCAGGCGTCCGTCTGGATTTGAATCGTAACACTGCACAGTGTCGTGTTGGCGTTCTGGTGGACTGAGCTGTTGCTGTCAAGTCCACTGCTTGGCTGTGAAATGGATAGGACCAGAAAGTACCATCCCTCTATGGATGATGCCAATGCCGGTACACTTCGAATCGTGCCATTGCCATCAATGGCAAACTGATGCGATGCTGAGCCATCGTAACTGCTGAGGTTAAAGACAGCATCCCTTGGCACACCTGTGAATATGCCCTGGGATGACTGCCGCCCGCTGATAGTATAGTATGGACGACTTGAGAGACTTGAGCACAGCTGTGGTAAAGCATTATGTGTGACACGAATAGTCACGTTGACTGTTGCAGAACGATTGTTGGCTATATCCGTAGCTGTGACAGTGATTTGGTTATCACCACCGCATGTCAAGAGTGGCGCACGCTCTCCTTGAGACGCAGCAGTAGAATTCCTGTGCGATGAATTGCTGCCAGCCGAGGCACCGCTGACGATGACTTCCCCAGAGCTGGAATTCACCTGCAAGCAGGTATGCATTGTACTGGAGTACCGCAGTGTGCTGCTTGCATCTGGTGTGTTCACTGCAATCACAGTGACAATCACTGCACCGGCAGCCAAGTTGACATCCGCAACCTGGAAATAGAACGGCTGGGAGAAGACTATTGCTGGCACGGCGGCCGGTGGTTCAGGTTGCGGCTGCTGTGGGCTTGACGGCAAGACTCTAATAGTGTGCGGGAGAGGAGAGGCACACTTAGAGCGAATCACTGCATTATCGCACACTGTCACCGAAAACAAATATGTCTTGGGTATCAGCTGCTCGTGGGTAGCCATGCGGACTTCATGGCTTTCTGCATCTAGGTGAAATGGGAAGTTGCTTGGATTTGCATCAAACCGGTGCTGGATGAACGCAGTAATCAGGGAATTCTCGGCAAGATCAGAGTCTGTCACGGATACTCTTGCCACAACTGTGTCAAACGGCGTCGTGTCCGGAATGCTCACATCAAACGGAATCAAGTGTGGAAACTGATCGTTGACATCCGTCACCGTGACCGTTACGTTGGCGATCGTGTGCTGCCTGCCATCAGCCACCGTGACTGGTACTGTGTACGTGTCCTGCACTTCCCTGTCCAGAGCTGCCAGCACTGTCAGCGTGCCACTGCCATCGATGGCAAACAGGCCGCTGGGATTGGAAGCATTCAGTGTGTATGTCAGCTCTCCCTGCGGAGTGTCCGGGTCTGTAGCGTACACACGCACACACGGCTGCGGGCCGGCGGAGTTCTCTTCGACGGTGCACGTGTACTGTGCCATGCTTGTCAGCGGTGCGGTATCATCCACGTTTGTCACGCTGATGTTAACCAGTGTGGAGCCAGACTGTCGATACGGCGTGCCAAGATCAGTTGCCTGGACGATGGCGTGTAACTCTCTAGGATCTAGTTCATAGTCAACTGGGTTTCTCAGTCGTACTTCACCAGATACAGGATCGATACTGAAGAATTCCTTCTCATGCTGCGAGAGAACAGAAAATCTCAACCTTGAATTGGAGCCAACATCCTTATCATATGCGGTTACCATGAGTATACTGGAGCCAGTTTGAAGGCTCTCCGAGATCGATGCAGTAAACACGTCCTGGGTGAAGGTGGGCGCATTGTCGTTGTCATCTTCGACGAGCACAGAAATGGAGTAGTTCCTCTGCTGTGGTGTTGTTCCATTGTCAGCCACTATGAGGTTGAGTGTGTACTCACTCTGCACTTCTCTATCCAGACTTGTGTTTGTCAGCAGTGCTACGCGGGATCTGTCTGCCAGGCCCAGCTGAAACGCAGTTTGATCGTCGTCCAGCCGGAACACAAGATCACCGTTATTGCCTTCGTCTAGATCGGTGGCTGAGAAGATGTGGATCTGTGTAGCGGCCGGTACTAGTTCAGATACGGTGACGGTGAGCGCATCCAGCTCAGGATAGTGATCGTTGACGTCCTGCAAGTGTACGAGAACGGGGAACAGCAGTTGGTGTTGTGGCGGTGCGCCGTCCACCACCACAGCGTCGACTATCAACCCGTCCGGGTACTGCTCCCTGTCGAGTCTCTTGCTTCCAGTGCGCAGCTGAAACCTGTCAGTGATGTACCCGCCATCTTCAGCTTCATTGCCCGTGACTCGTGTGATCGTAACGAGATCCGTAGCTTCTCCCTGAAACAGCACACCCGTGATGTTGAGCACTCCGGGTGATCTGTAATCTCGATCCCTAATAGTCAGCGTGGTAAGCAGCACGCCCGGTTCTTGCTCTTCACTTACATTCACCGCGGCAGGCTCGGCGGTGACCTCTGGCCAGAATTCGTTGACATTGGTGACTGTAATGTGAACAGCAGCCACAGCATGGTGCGGTGGCTGGCCACGATCCTGCACCGTGACGTTGAAGCTCCAGTTTGACTGTGTCTCAAAGTCCAATGTGTTGGCAGTGTACAGCACGCCTGTGGTGGCATGCAATGCGAATGGCATGCCGTACGAGTCAGCCACGCTCTCCAGTACATGATAGTAGAGATCGCCGTCATACCCACTGTCAGCGTCGAAGGCCTCCACACGCATCAGACTGCTTCCCGGCGCTGTATCCTCCGAGACCGTCAACGAGTACGTGAGAGATGAAAACCGAGGCCGGTTGTCGTTGACGCCGATCACCGTGACAACAATCTGCGTCGTTGAGTTGATCAGCGTGCTGTTGTCGTCAGCGATGACGTGTGCGCACAGCGTGAGGTTGTATGCGTGCAGTCCATGGTGACTCCGCTTAGTTACCAACTGCACGTAGCCGCCGCTGCTGTGTGTTATCGATATATCAACCAGGTCATCGGAGTATGCATGTGATGGCAGCAACGTGTACGACAGCGGGTGACTGCTAAGTGCCCGCACGTCCAACAGGCCACTGACAGTGGTTCCGAGTGGTGCGTTCTCGTACACACTGCCTGCGTACTCTGAACGGGAAAACAGTGCTGGAATGACGGGTAGATGAACGCGCACTCTCAGAACAATCAGACTGCGTTGTAGGCAGTACCAAGGCAAATCACTCGCAACACTTACGTTGTACAGGTCAATCAGTACAGGTAATGAGATGACATGCGGGCTCGGGGAATGTCTACTGGCTGCCGCATCCAGCGCAACACGGCTTTGCACTGTGACAGTTCCCAGGAGTCCAGTTTGCACCGCAAACAGCTGTGTGCCCGTGCCGGCTGTCAGTCTATCATCCAGTGTGGAGAAGTGTAAAGAGTGTGAGGAGCATAGAGACAAGACACCCAGGGAGTCCGCATCGGTGAGATTCACCAATGTTGCTATAACCTTTCCAACCTGTACGTCCTGACTTCTGATATCGATGGCCAGTTCTTGATATGGCACTGCTGGGTTGTGTGCGTGAGCATGCGATTGCTGTGCTGCGACTCCAGGACTAACTTGACCAAGCACCATGATGCATAGTAACGTTACCAGTAGTACACTGTACGGTACAACAGTTACTGTACACAGAGCTAAGTCAAACTTCCGTTCACATCTTGAACATCGTGATACTCGACCATCTAATTCTTCTACATCTCCAGAAACTTGACGGTTGCTGCCGCTACTCCGGTTTCGCCGCCGCATGGTCGAAATACATCCTCCGCAACCATCCATGGTGGTACACCGACCACGCAGTCCACAGTGCTGCTGCATGGCGCGACGGACGCGACAGCGGTGGAAGCGATAAGCCACGCGTGCCCCGTCGCTGATGGGTTCAGGTCCTGCGGCGCACGCAGCAAGGTGTCCGCACTGTTCACAGACAGCGTACTGAGGTGGTGGTCAGCTGCTGTGGCCGCAAGGCGGCTACCTCCTCCTCTTCCCACCTTCCGCCGAGCTCAGGTCCTAGTGAACTAGTCTAGTAATACTCAACGTATCCCTACATCCTGACGATGCTCGTCCTTCATCGCCAGGTCTTACAATCTCAGAAACAGGCTTTCGGCTGATTCGAGCGCCTTCCGTGCAAACTGCAGCCCGCAGCTGCTGTTACAAAAACGATCTTCGTTAGAATTATTTACCGGCTACACAGTCAGTTGGAGCATCACATTCGTATTCGGGTCGAAATGACTATGTGGACGAACTCGAAGGATCGTCGACTCGGCTGAGTCATCAGCTGAGAGCGAGAGACATCGAGAGTTTTGTAGTCCACAAGGTCACATGCAGTTGTCACGCATTGCGAGCGTATCCGGGATCTGTTTCCGATGCGTAGACTCTACGAAAGTCGTTTGCATATTTCCCTTCGTTCATACGGCGATCACTGCTACCGGTACATCAATACATGTACGTCTGTGGTACTTGTAGGATCCACTGCGTATACCCATGATAACCAGGCATGGCACTTGGCAGTGGACCTGGTAGACCATAGCCTTGGCATAGTACTAGTAGACTTTCAGCGGGACCTGCATGCTATGAACACTGACTGTCGACATGACCTCCTTACGTAACCGTTGTATGTATGGCCAAGGCGAGAAGGCTGAGAAGTGAGAGCCTCAAAGAGTCCGCATATTTAGACCTGGACTATGTGCTGACTCCGTGGTGGTTGCATGTTGCACGCTAGGTTCTAACCTCTACCTAGCTACATGTAGCTCTTGAAAACACCCGCACCACTTATCTCTCGTTGAGTGCCCCGCAGCCGAACTGGATACACTCCCTTACGCGAGTTACGGCCGATCGCTTCCTCAATGTTGTATTCTGACATTAATCGCATAATTAGCACCAACTTGCACAGTCATTTGTCAGGCAGAGACTTGCGTGATTCGTGCCAGCCAGCGGCTGAGCATGAGTGGCACAGTGGACGTACACGTTTCGTCGAGCATGTTGTAAAGAGGCACTAACAGAGTCTTCACACTCTCACACTTCACCATTGTGGCCATTTTCAACCTACTAACTGTGTGACGGGACGTGCAATTCCCTTGAAAGTCCCCCCCCCCCCCCTCACCGCACTCATGTGTACTTATGTAACGACAAGACTGCGACAGGAGTACTTTCTGAGTCTCCGGAGTTAAAGGAATGTTCTGGGCCGTATATCCCTGGCCTAGAATGCAATGGGTCGTGTGAGCATCACCATTCAACTAATGAAGTGGAATGTCTTGGAAATGAGTTCTACTTCTCCAAACTCAACCACAATCCAGTTATGCATGATTACATACCTGTTACGGTGCACCGGTGCTCACCTGTGCTAGACGAGCACAGACTCAGACACTCAGTTGTACAAAGTCATGATTGTACTTCCACTACTAACTAACGTGGCACTAGTACAGTAGGCACTACTTCCAGGTGCAGTGCAACAATAATAAAATAATTATTATTATCGAGAGAGCGCTTGATCCATGGTACCAGGGAGTAGTAAATTAATACCATTTTACTACTCCCTGCCTGATACACGTACATGTACATGTTGAGAGTAACTGTTGTAACGTTAGGTTAGTGGTTCAGCATAGGCCATATGCGTGATATGGACGTTGTTGTGAGGAGACGCTTTGTCCGACTGCGTGTCATATAAACGGTGCATATCCATGGTGATAATAGTGTGGTGTCACTGTGATAAGCCTAGCCTGCCATTAGTACAGGACCGGTAGTCTGGTACACATACTAGTAATACCAAGAGTACACAACGGGGGGGGGGGGGGGGGGGGGTATGTACTCTTGATATTAAATACTACACTACTCGTTACAATTGCTAGTTTATAGTACGTGAAGTGTGTGGGTCACAGTGAGGGCCAGGGCTGCGTCCCCCCGCCTGTGTGGATTCGCAGGAAGCGTGAGTTTCGAAGTCTGAAGAAAAATGTTGAACAATCTCTGCTTGGATGACAGGCTTGACAGCTGCACCATACATGTACATGTAGCTCAGACCCTTCCCGGTTGCATCTTTCGGAAGTTTCCCTCAGAGTCAAACCAATTATTGGTGTAGAAAAAGTCTGCTGCTACTACAGTACATATTGTAGTACATGAAGTTTTACTGAAATCACAATTGTAAGCATCGTGTTCTCTATAGCATAGTATATGACGTTTCCACGGCTAGCGATATACATGGTATGTACATTGTACATGGAATGGCATGGTATTATATAACCCAATACTAGTACAATACTAGTATTAGATAAACCTTTCATGGCATGCTGTCAAACTAATAACATGTGTACCGGTATTACCGGCAAATTATGGAATTGCCTTCCACCCAAGATTACCGCTATAGATTCTGTTTCAGAATTTCGGACACAATTTCGCGCTCATTATAAACAGCATATATTTGCCTGCACAAGTCGCTTCACTAGTATATAAATCAATGATCATTTTCACTGTTAGGAGATCCCCCCGATAGGCTATGCCTTTGGGAAATCCTTTTAAAATAAAATTAATATATATATACATGTACCATCATCGGTAGTGTATTGATTCCTGTGACCAAGAGTGTATAACCCCCCTGGGGGTTAATACGCCGGGTTATATACTCTTGCTATGACGAATACCCCGGTACCGTGTACCCCGATGACAACCCATGCTTGGACCGTGGAGTCGCACATGGCCAACGGGTGCAGCATTCAGAGGCACAGGTATACTAGAAGTTAGTTCTACAACAGCCTAACAATATTGTCCGTCTGATCAGGATGTGGTGAATTGCTTAATTGCTGAATGCGTCGCGGACTACTAGTACAACAGCTCAACGAAGTGATACCGGCTTGCATGCTTCCGTGATAAATAGCGCAGTGCAGCGCCAAGAAAGCTTTAGAGTAGGAACAAGATCTTGCCTTGGTAGGAAACAACAGACGCCTGGTTGCTGGTCCGCACAACTTGCTTCACTCTAGCTTGGATAAACTTGTACTTACTAGTACTCAGTCATGTTACAGTGGACACCTACTAACACGTGTTTTATTGAACACACAAAGCCACAAACCAATGCTGATATGAACGCAGGAAAGAACAAAGTATTAGATTTAATCCATTGTGTTAATTCCTGCCCGTAAATGAGGCTTTTACATGTATAATTATATTAGAACACGAATGTAAGCAAATGACTCGAAACCCTCCAAAACCATAATTCTACCAGTGTGAATACTGCTTGCTAGTACTACAAGCGGAGTTGTATCTCTTTTTCTCCACAATCTGCACTGCACGGTTGTAGGTTTTTTTGTGACTCACCAAACGTTTAAAGCTTCTAAGTTCACAAAACTTTATTCATAATTATGGTGGTAAACACACACCTGGCAATATGGCGGTAAAAACATGCCGGCCATTAATTAAACAACAGGAAGAAAGGAGATAAATGGCTGTAAAAACAGTATAAATGTCGAGCCAGACACGCCTCCGCCTGCACGGTTGTAGTGTTTCTTCGACGTGTATAAAGACTAGCAGGTCTTTTGGGGTGTACTAGTATAGTATCAAGCAGGAGGACACGAGGTGTAGAAAGTGTAGCAGGCCCTGAGAAAAACCTGGAACGTACATGTACATGTAAAATGGTAACAAAGACGAAGACTCGACAGCAACGGTCACATCCCACTGTAAAACATCCCCCAGTGTTCGCCATGTTCACATTGCTGGCCCACGCGTCGACCAGCCCACATACCTCTGATCTGTTCAACACAGCAAAGCATTTTTTTATTGCTTATTGTTGTTGGAGGGTTGGCTCTTCGCTAATTTGTCTATTAATTTTGTGCTTGAGGAAAGTTCGCCCAGTATGGACATAACAAAAATATTACAGCTTGCGCAGAGCAGTCAGTGTCCAAGAACAAGAACGTCCAGCTGTCGAAAGAATCAGCAGTAGCCGCAGCTGACGCACGTCCATGGACTTGAGTCTTGAGTGCGATGTATCACATCTTTTCCCCTCAGAGGGGAGCATTGGTCCGGCAGTTGCCGGACTGGTCGCTACGGCCCAGCAGGCTCACTATCCATGCAGTGAGAGGTGAAAACCATCATTGCTGGTGATCATTGGGATGAAGTATAATCTTGGCAAGTGGTATTCCTGCCTGCAAGCAAGCTGTCACTACCGGTACTTCCACACACTGTGACAGTGAATGATGCCTTCATCCGAAACAGCAGACGTTAGGCCAGTTCCTGAGTGAGAGCCGATCTCGGATTGAGATCCCTCCCATTTGCGGAAAGCCTGAAAACACGTGGTCGGAAGTTATTCCGCCGCTCTACTTCCTTTGCTTGGGCTGTCTTCTTCTCCCTGTGTGGAACCATGGTGTTGTGTAGACAAATTGGTTGGGCACCGTGACTCTTCTTTTTTGATGGCATTTGGGATTTTGGCTGCAGCATTTACCATGTTTCAATCGCCGGCGCCCGCAAGTTCCACAACTAGACTACTTAATTAAAACTGTGTATACATGTAAGTCATGTAACAAGGTGGAGGACACTGTGTTCATGGTGTTCGGAAACAGTGACCACGGTGACCACGGTGACCATGGTGACCACGGTGACCTTTCTACAACCGTGTACTGTACTTAGTCGGATCATGATTAGCCCTTTCCCAAAGATGCCAAAAAAATTCTCAACTTATGCTTTTCGCAACCGTGCCAGAACAAGTGAAAGTTGCTGAAATTGCATCCATATTCTCAGAAAAAGCTCAGAAGTTGCCAATATCGCAACTCAAAATGAGCGAGTTCTCGTGCATAATGATGCCAAAAACAACCAAAAATGGAGCGGAAATAGACAACGCTGTGTTGCAGCACAACTGCCTGAGAAAATAGGAAAATGAACAGACTTGGAATGAATCATACTACTGTAGTAGATCATTGTCCTTTTTGTTGAACCTTCGCACTAGCCCTTTCGCAAAGATGCCAACATACATGTATTTCGCACCTTATGCTTTTCGCAACCATGCCAAAACAAGTGAAAGTTGCTGAAATCGCATCCATATTTTCAGAAAAAGCTCAATAGCTGCTAATAATTATAATATCGCAAGTCAAAATGAGCGAGTTCTTGTACATAATGATGCAAAAAAAAACAATAAAGGAGCGGAACTTGATGATGGAAAACACGCGGCTGGCGCAGCACAACTGCTTGAGTAAAGTTAATCGTACACGTGTACTTTGAAGTATATATGAATGCATATGTTCACAGCGTGAAACATGTTTAAGAAAATGAACAGACTTGGGATGAGTCCTTGTCCATTTTTGTTGAGCCTTTGCACAGCATTATTATTATTATTATTATTTGGAAAGGATTGGGAGAACTTCAAATTCAAAGGATCAGTCGGGGAAGTGAACTGCCTGAAAAGAGAAAAAAACGCCAGACCCACCAGGACTCGAACCTGGGACCCTGCTTGTCATGAGCAATGCTCTAACCACTGAGCTATGGAACCAGGCTGAACCTAGAAGGCGCCGACAAGTCTTTCACTCCAAAGGCAGCTCACAACACGTGCCACACATACTGATGGCACTTGGGTCTTTTTCCCTCCCCCAGGGGACCAACCATGGTCAGTTTCTGGAAACTACCAGAGGTGAAAGAAAGTGATTAAATTTGGAAAGGATTGGGAGAACTTCAAATTCAAAGGATCAGTCGGGGAAGTGAACTGCCTGAAAAGAGAAAAAAACGCCAGACCCACCAGGACTCGAACCTGGGACCCTGCTTGTCATGAGCAATGCTCTAACCACTGAGCTATGGAACCAGGCTGAACCTAGAAGGCGCCGACAAGTCTTTCACTCCAAAGGCAGCTCACAACACGTGCCACACATACTGATGGCACTTGGGTCTTTTTCCCTCCCCCAGGGGACCAACCACGGTCAGTTTCTGGAAACTACCAGAGGTGAAAGAAAGTGATTAAATTTGGAAAGGATTGGGAGAACTTCAAATTCAAAAGTCCTGGTGGGTCTGGCGTTTTTTTCTCTTTTCAGGCAGTTCACTTCCCCGACTGATCCTTTGAATTTGAAGTTCTCCCAATCCTTTCCAAATTTAATCACTTTCTTTCACCTCTGGTAGTTTCCAGAAACTGACCGTGGTTGGTCCCCTGGGGGAGGGAAAAAGACCCAAGTGCCATCAGTATGTGTGGCACGTGTTGTGAGCTGCCTTTGGAGTGAAAGACTTGTCGGCGCCTTCTAGGTTCAGCCTGGTCCCATAGCTCAGTGGTTAGAGCATTGCTCATGACAAGCAGGGTCCCAGGTTCGAGTCCTGGTGGGTCTGGCGTTTTTTTCTCTTTTCAGGCAGTTCACTTCCCCGACTGATCCCTTGAATTATTATTATTATTATTATTATTAAGTAGTAGTTGCGACTTCGGCGATGATTTGTAAGGGCCGATTCCCACTACGGTACCGTGAGTGCCGTGCCGACGATTTGGGTAGGTCACGTGTACCCCACGGTACGAGCTTGAAGCTGAGAGTGATTTACACCTGCGCACAATCATTCCGTGCATTCCGTCGGCAGGCCGGATCACCATTTTTATCAATTTCTGACTTTGGTCCTGAGGGAAAATAGCGGGGGAGATGACTGGAGAAAGCTCAAGAATCAACCAATCGAAAAGCCAAAAGCCAAGGAAAAACTTCGTACCACAAATACAAAAGAAAGAAAAAACTTCCTTTCAGGGAGTAGTAAAATACCTACTACTCACTGCATTCGACCTCACGGAATACCACGGCATGCCATTTCCACCCCCCAGAGACCCTCGAGCCTCGGCACCGGAATGTCCACGGCGCGGTACGGCAGGAGCCGCGGAATGAACTCGCGCCAAAACTGCCCCTCACGTGAGCAAATCACCATGGGTACTCACGGCACGGCACTCACGGTACCGTAGTGGGAATCGGCCGGTTTGCTCCCGACACCGGAGCTCGCGCTATTCCGCCGACTTTACTTGACTGACTCACGACTGCCATCCAGAGCACACGAGAAGTCCATCGAACCTTCGACTCGGCAAACCTGCAAGAAAGCACCACTCCCTGCTCAATACACAGTGCTCCGGGGAATTCACCCCTCATCAGTTGAGCTTGACGCCAAAATTCTTAAACTATCACCTAGCCGTTAGAAAATTAATGTTAGCAGCTTGTGATTGGATTTCTCACCTGCCATTTTCTTGGAACCCGTGGCACTGTGTTGCTGAAGAATTGTAACTTCTCATTCTCACACTTTGCCCGTAATCTTGCGCCCATGTTTTGTAGTATAATAAACTTTAATCTTTATTTCAGGATTACCCAAAGGCTAACGCCTATCTGGGGGATCTCCTATTTGTGTATGTACTAGTAACATAGAGTATAAATCTGACCATCTCCACCTGATATCATCCTATTCAATATCACCTTCTCTGATGAGCCTTATGAAGGCGAAACAGCTGTCAGGAGGAATTTCAGTATCTACCTGCAACCCTTCCTTGGTTGGTGTGTGTAATGGCTACTGAGGGTAGCAGTGAGTCGGCTGTGAGAGCGCATGGAGGAGAGGAATAATAATACTAATAATAATGCATGTAATCAAGCACGCTCAGGAGGTCATGATGGCTGAATCTTGCCCGAGCCTGCAGCCCAAGGGCCGTAGGCCCGAGGGCTGCAGGCAAGGGCAAGATTCAGCCAGCATGACAGACAGAGCGTGCTTGATTTGATTTCTTACAGCGCGAAGCAACATATTAGGGAAGGTCAAAGGTCGAAAGGTCGAAAAATTATTCCCGAGATGACGTCAAACGGTCCTAACATTCCCGAAATGACGTCAAACCGACTCAAACGGTCCGCGGTCCTGAAACTCCCGAAATGACGTCAAACGGTCCTGATGGCCTGATTATGCCCGCGGCGGGAAGATCGCCTATTGGCCATGGCCCCGGCAACGATCACGTGTCATGTAAGAACCTCGACATTACACACACTATATACTACGGCGCGGTCCCCGCGACGTGCGCACTCTCGATACAACGTAAATTCACCTGCACGTTACGATCAAGCGGTAGCTGGCCAGTTTTCACGTAAACCTCGGCATAACGCACCCTATAGCGCGGTCCCCGACGTGAGCACTCTCGATACAACGTAGAATCAAGTGCGCGGTACGAAGGGTCCAGCGGATAATCATGATAATGCCGGCATTATATTCGGCATTATAAGACTTTCTTACATGACACGTGATCGTTGCCGGGGCCATGGCCAATAGGCGATCTTCCCGCCACTGGCATAATCAGGCCATCAGGACCGTTTGACGTCATTTCGGGAGTTTCAGGACCGTTTGACGTCATTTCGGGAATGTTCGGACCGTTTGACGTCATTTCGGGAATAATTTTTCGACCTTTCGACCTTTGACCTTCCCTAATATGTTGCTTCGCGATGTAAGAAATCAAATCAAGCACGCTCTGTCTGTCATGATGGCTGAATCTTGCCCTTGCCTGCAGCCCTCGGGCCTACGGCCCTTGGTGTTAGATTTGTATGCGCATCAGTGCACTCGCTATACATGATTGTCTGATGTATTGTTGTAGTTCTTTGTGCATGTTCTCTGTCTACTATGATTGATTGCATGGTCAGCTACCCCGGCGTGGGAACGCAGTCATCCGTGATGTTTCATGATTGTACTATGCATGAAGTACTAGTACGCGTGCGTGTTACGCTTCTCGTTGTTCTTCCTTCATTGTGTTTTGCCCTTTTAGTTGTGTGTTGGAGTCTCCTGTGAGAGATTAGTTTTGATCAGTGCACTTGTTATTGGTTCAGCTTGGCATGTTTTGGTCCTTTTCCATGATAATACATAATAAACGAATTAGCAGTTGCCTTAGTGTTTTGAAGGTAACATTTTAGTGGTCCTTCGAGCCGGATCATGGATAGGCCGAAGCGTGCCAAACAAGGGAAGCCGGCGGAGAAGTATGGTTTGTGGGTGGAAACAGCCAGTAGTGTTTCGGAGATCACCGCGACCAGTCGCCGGTCCGCTGGGAGTGCTCAGGCACAAGCTGAAGTGGACAAGCTGAAGGCTGAGCTTCAGGCAGCGGAGGATGTGGCTCAGTTGGAGCGAGACGCAGAGGCGAAGGAACTTGCCCGGCAGAGAGAGCTTGTGGATAAGCGTCTGGCTGTGGAGAAGGCTGAAGCCGTGTTGGTGGAGATCACGGCATCGTCTCAGCCCAGGAGCCGTGGCAGTAGTGTAGTGGGTTCCAAAGCGAACAGTGTGACGGGAGCGACCAATGTTGCCGCAGAACACCCAAAGCGAAAGGTGCTGACGGTGGAGGCTCTTGCTGCCTTGGAGAAGCGCAATCCGCCTGTTCGGAAGTTTGCAACCCTAAGCGAGTGCATGGACGAGTTGGACATTGAGCAGCGCAGCTACAGGAGTCTGGGAAGGAAGCCCTTGAATCCAATGCGACCGATCCGACCGCTTCAATCGAGTCCAGTGGAAGTCGTAGCCTTGGACCAGAACTCTGACGACTCTGACGACTATGAGTATGATGAGCAGAGTAGCGCAGGTGAGCTGAGCCATGACGGCAGTTCAGCAGTTTCAACTGCGGTCCAGCTCGCAGGCACAGGAGTGGGCACAGTTGCCAGCTCACCCATTCATCCTGCCAGTGGAGGTGCGAACAGACTTCCCCCAAGACTGACACCTATCCACACTGTAGCAAGTGGTGTGCATCCAAGCATAGCAAATGCAGCATCCAGTATGAGACCTCAGCCTGTTGTCACAGGTCCTGTGAGCAGTGCTCTATGGAAAGCTCCAGTGGCAGTGCCCACTCAGCAAAAGCAACCAGTCTTGACTGCTGGACCTATCACAGTCCAGTCAAGTCTTGCTGCAGTTCCTGCTGCTGTTCAGCAGCCCAAGCAGCCTACAGCTTCGAAGCCCAGGGTGCCTGCGGCAGGTCAGACACTGTTGGCTAGTGCTCCAGCATTCCAGCCAATGGGAACGCGGAGCAAGGTTCGTCTAGCACCACCTCCACCAGAGTATCTTGGTGCACCACCTGCTGAAGGCCAGTCTACACACCACGGCCCGGAGGTGCATTCAGCACAGTCGTACGCGATTCCGTATGTGGAGGCACCAGCAATCAGAAGCCCTTGGTCTCGCCACCACCTAAAGCCACTGGAACTGCCAAAGTTCAGTGGGAAGGACAAGGACTTCGGCCGATGGAGGCAGCGTTTCAAACAGCTCGTGGAAGAGGACACGTACATGTCGGACGACCACAAGTTTGCCCGTCTGCGGGAAGCCTTGGCAGGCGGCGAAGCGGAAGATCTCGTTGCCGACATCGTCCACGGCCCAGGCGCTTACAAGTCCGCACTGCAAGAGCTTGACGCATGGTACGGGGGCCCAGTCCGAGATATCGTGCGCTATGAGAGAGAGCTTCTAGCCGTTCCCCGCATTGTCAGTGAGCGGGACCTAGATCAGCTGAAGTCGTTCGCGCTCAGGCTGCGGAACACCCTCATCAACTTGAACACCGCTGGACTTACACCAGGCAGAGAACTCTACCTCAGTGTAACCCAGAAGGTGCCAAAGCCTGTCCTGATCCGCTTTTTGGAGCGACACGATGACTCGCTATGCGACATTCATGGGTTCGCAGACTTCCTGTTAAAGCGTGTCATGTGCCTCAAGCAGGTAGAAGAGCGTGCTGCCAATCCCGAGCCTTCCCAGTGGTGCACCGAGAAGCGCCAACAAGGCCCAGGAAAGCCATTCCACAAGCGTACTGAGCGCACACTTGTTGCCACCGAGTCGTCGACCGTCAGCTGCGTGTCCTGCCGCGGAGGGCATCAGCTGGCATCTTGCCCACAATTCAAGCAGCTCTCCCTGCACGAACGGTGGGAGTTTGTGAAGCCGTTGACCATTTGCATCTGCTGTTTCAAGCCTGGCCACAAAGGCAAAGACTGCCGACAACCGAGGTGCCGGTTCTGTAACAAGCCGCACCATGAGCTTCTCCACTACCAGAAGTCAATCGCCAAGCAACCAGTGCAGTCTGCAAAAAGAGCGCCAGGTGCCAACACAGCCCAAGGCAGAGTTGAGAAGGCGCAGAGTGCCTGCAGCGTGACCGCCACGAGTTCTTCGTCACGTGACCAGACCACTGCATTCATGACAGTGGCAGCCACCGTCAACGGGCCAAACGGGCCATCCCAGGCAACGGTGTTCCTCGACAGCGGATCGTCGTGCAGCTTCATCAGCGCAGACCTCGTTGAACGTCTGGCGCTGCCTGTGAAGTTCGGATCCCTCGAGACTTCTGTCCTCGGCGGCGAGAAGCTGTGCCCTATCAACCAATACGCAACGGTTGAGCTGAGTCATTCTGATGGATCAGGAACCAGTGAGTTCTCGGCTTGGGTCTTGCCGAAGATCATGAACCCCATCACTACCATCAACTGGACAGAGCAACAAGGATGTTGGCCGCACCTCACTGACGTGCCACTCCCCAAAGTACCCGAAGCAGCTCCCGTAGGCCTGCTGGTCGGCCTCAATGCGCCCTGGCTCCACACGTCTCTGGAAGAGAGGTTTGTCAACGAGGGAGGTCCCATTGCAAGGAAGACACTCCTTGGCTGGGTAGTGTTTGGTTCTGTGTCTGCCCACACCGCCGGCGAGTTTGACGACCGTTCGCTAGTGGCAACCTCTGATGATCCGCTCACAGACGTTGTCAGCAAGTTCTGGCGATTGGAGAGTGTCGGCATGGAGACCACCAGCTCCGACTACCTAACCCCTGACGAGCGTGCAGCAGACGACATGACGAAGCGGAGCCTTCACCACAATGGCACCAGATTCGTCGTCGGGATCCCGTGGCGGAGTGGTGCAGATCAGCCGGAGTTACGTCAAGACTCGCGGCAGTGCGCTGATCAACGGCTCAAGTCCCTACATCGCATCCTTGAGCGGAAACCCGAGGTTCGTCTGCAGTACGCTGAGGTGCTCAAGAAGTACCTGGAGCGTGGGTACATTCGATCAGTCCTGCCCACAGAGGTGGAAGATGCCGGAACCGACCAATGGTTTCTCCCGCATTTCCCCGTCATCCGCAACGACAAGTCAACGACAAAGGTCCGAATCGTATTCGACGGTTCTGCGAAGGTCATGGGTGACAGCATCAACGACCGCATGCACGCTGGACAAAAGCTGCAGAGTGACCTGGTCAAGGTCCTGCTGCGCTTCTGCCATCACCCTATCGCCCTCACTGCCGACATCTCGGAGATGTTTCTCCAAGTTGAGCTCCGTGACAATGACCGGAAGTACCACCGGTTCGTCTGGAGTGAGTCTCCTCACCACCCACTCGTATTCTTCGAGTTCTGCCGCGTTGTCTTCGGCATGAGAGCGTCCCCGTACTTGGCAGGCCGAGCGCTACAAGCAACGGCGGAGACCTTTGCAGATACTGCCGGTCCCGAGGCGATCAACGCCGTTCGAGACAACTTCTACGTTGACGACCTGTTGATGTCGACAGCTACTGAAGCATCAGCTATAGTTGCCCGAGAGGATCTCCAGGAAATCACCACACGCGGTGGATTCCACCTACGGAAGTGGCTCAGCAATTCACCGGCTGTGCTTAAGTCCATCCCAGTGGCAGACCAAGCCAGCACAAGCAGCGTGATGATCACCAACCGTGAGGAACCATCCACTCTTCACAAGACCCTCGGTGTGGCTTGGAATCCAGTGGACGACCACTTCACCTTCGTGCACCCGGAGCCAGACGCTGTACGATTCACACCGCGTGGCGTTTTGAGTCAGATGTGCCGGCTGTTCGATCCGAGAGGGCAACTATGCCCGTTCACGATCCGTAGCCGTGTCCTGTTCCAAGCCTCCTGTATCCGAGGCACTCGCTGGGACGATCCCCTGGACCACGACCAAGCCGAGGATTGGCGGAAGTGGTTTGCCGAAGTTCCCGACCTGGCGTCGATCCAAGCCAGTCGTTGCTTCACTGACACTGAACCCGGTGAGCTGTCGCTCCACACATTCGCCGATGCCTCAGCGGTAGCGTACGCAGCTGCCACATACGTGCGACATGAACGTCCAGACGGAACCGCCAAGGTAACCCTTGCCCTCGCTAAGGCCAGGCCAGCTCCAATCAGACGCAAGACCATCCCGATGTTGGAGCTGCAGGGAGCAGTTCTTGGTGCGCGCTTGGGTCAGACTGTTGCTGAAGTTCTCAACATCCCACACCCCAAACAGTACTTTTGGACGGATTCAATGAACGTCCTGTACTGGATCAAGTCTCCAAGTAGGAAGTTCAAGGTGGATGTGGGCAACCGTGTCTCTGAGATTCAAGACATCACCAACCCTGGCAACTGGCGACACGTGCGTACCAAGGACAACCCCGCTGACATGCCCAGTCGTGGAATCAGCGCAACACAGCTCGCCACAGACGAAAAATGGTGGAGTGGACCGGCCTTCCTGTCCGAGCCGCCTACTACGTGGCCGTCGAAGCAAATCATCCCTCCGGCGGAGCTTCCAGGGCAATTGAAACATGGAGTTGCCATGGCAGCCATTGGCAGATCGCAGTCCTGTCGCCTACACCCCGACAACTATTCTTCCTGGCAACGCCTAGTGAGGGTAACAGCTTGGTGCCGTCGCTTCATCAATAATGCGAGACGTCACACTGCCCCACCGCCGCCGGGGACATCTCCTGAGAAATCTGTGACCATTCCTGGGAAGCGCGCTATTGATGTCGCAGAGCTCACCGTCCAGGAACTACAGCAGGCGAAGTACCTCTGGATCAGCACTGCACAGAGGGAGGCCTACGAGAGCACGTATGCTGATGTGAAAGCTGGCAAACCACTGTCGGCGTCATCACCATTGCGGAAACTGCAGCCAGCCATGGACAAGACAACTGGTGTCCCAGTGATGAAGGTGCACGGACGGCTTCGTACAGCCCATCATCTGCCAACAGGTGTCCGTTCACCCGTCATCCTGCCAAGAAGCCATCGAGTGACGTGGCTCATCATCGCAGCAGCAGACGCAGACGCTCACCATGCTGCCGGAAGCAACCACCTGCTCTCAAACCTTGCTGGAGAGTACTGGATTGTCAAAGGAAAGGCTGCAGTGAAAGAGCATCGAAATAAATGTGTCCTCTGCCGTAAACGCAACCAGAAGACTGCAACCCCACCCATGGCACCGCTACCGAACTTCCGAACATCACCCCCGCTACAACCGTTCTCGAGAGTCGGAGTTGATTATGCCGGCCCGTTCTTTACGCGACAAGGACGGGGCCGTGCACAGCTGAAGCGATGGGTGTGCATCTTCACGTGCCTCCAGAGCAGGGCGTGCCACATTGAGCTAGTGTACTCCTTGGACACCGACGGCTTCCTCCTGGCCCTCAGCCGGTTCATAAAGAGGCGTGGCGTGCCGCAAGAGATGCTGTCGGACAATGGCTCCAACTTTGTTGCTGCGGATAAAGCTCTGAAGGACGCCGTCCAGTCCCTCGATAGTTCCCGGATTGCTGGAGAGTTGACTGGCCAGAACATCAAGTGGCGTTTCAACCCGCCAAGAGCACCTCATTTCGGTGGGGTGTTCGAGGTCGTCGTGAAGTCAATGAAAAGGGTCCTGCAGCATGTGCTGTACAAGGCAGACCTCTCGGATGAGGAGCTGCATACGGCGCTGGTACACGCGGAGGGTCTCATCAACAGTCGACCATTAACTGTCATCTCCTCTGATTCGAATGATCTTCGGCCCCTGACGCCACAGCACTTCCTCGTGGGCCACGCAGACGCCACACTGGCCGCTGAGCTGGGTGTCCAGCCAGCAGACACGGTCCATCCTCGTCGCCGCTGGATGTACGTGCAACGCATCGTCGCGGAGGTCTGGGCACGATGGGTGAAGGAGATCGTACCGAAGCTCAATGTGCAAGTGAAGTGGTTTCAGCAGCAGCGGAACGTCGAAGTTGGTGACATCGTCATGGTCATGGACGACAATGTCCCACGAGCACATTGGCCACTCGCTAGAATTACGGCAACCTACCCTGGTAAGGATGACGTTGTCCGTGTGGTGGGGGTCAACATCCAGGGCAAGGTCTTAAAACGGCCAGTCCATCGACTAGTTCCACTTGAAGTCGAAGGTGCCACTGGTGAATGAGTAAGACGGAGTGTCACAGATAGAATCACTCATGACAATAGCAGCCAATGTAACAGTAGTGGTGTCGCATAACTTACAATGCTTCTCGATCATCTTTCCTATTTTCTTTTTTGTTTGCTATACTGTTGTTTGGGTCTCACTCATATTGCATGATAGCATATTCGTTCGAGAGGGAGGAATGTTAGATTTGTATGCGCATCAGTGCACTCGCTATACATGATTGTCTGATGTATTGTTGTAGTTCTTTGTGCATGTTCTCTGTCTACTATGATTGATTGCATGGTCAGCTACCCCGGCGTGGGAACGCAGTCATCCGTGATGTTTCATGATTGTACTATGCATGAAGTACTAGTACGCGTGCGTGTTACGCTTCTCGTTGTTCTTCCTTCATTGTGTTTTGCCCTTTTAGTTGTGTGTTGGAGTCTCCTGTGAGAGATTAGTTTTGATCAGTGCACTTGTTATTGGTTCAGCTTGGCATGTTTTGGTCCTTTTCCATGATAATACATAATAAACGAATTAGCAGTTGCCTTAGTGTTTTGAAGGTAACACTTGGGCTGCAGGCTCGGGCAAGATTCAGCCATCATGATCCCCCCCCTGAGCGTGCTTGATACATGTACTTTATGTAGGACTAGCAGCACCCCAGGCCAGCGTTGCCTGGCCGAATGTGGCATGCGGGTGAAGCAAGTACATGAACAGCACACTTGCTCAGCACGTGGTGGTGGCCAGACCGCTGAAGTCCTGGTGAGGAAGGTTCTTCATGGTTGGAAGGAGAAGGAGGGACGTACGTCTGTTACGTCTTCGGGAGGCTGGTCAGGGTTGTCCATCACCTGGTGGCGGATGAAGCGGCTCAAAAAATTCATAAACTTACGAACAAAAGTGCGATGCGCTCTTCACTGCAGATCAGATGCAGAGGCAGTCAGTGCAGATCTTTTGTATCCTTTTGTTGCAGATGTTTCTATTTGCAGAGAACGGTTCACGTGGTCCGCAGCGCTTGTGCGGCTGCTAGTGCTACCTATAGCGAGGTCAGGCGAAAATTAAATTTTGGAAAACCCTATCGAATTGGGTATCTACGGAAAGCTTAGAGCTTCAGGCGTTCAAATCTAAAATTTGGGCTGGGTTAGAGCAACTGGAAGAGAGTTATGGGTGTTGAAAGGAGCCCGACTACGTGATTTTTTTGTCGCGACGAATGTACGCGTGGGAGCTCGAAAAATGGCACCCGGCACTCGGGTCCCAAGTCGCGACGGAGAGTGCATGATGTAATCTCGCGTGTCACGTGCGTGTACTTCGCTATGCTAGCGGCTAGCGGCACCGATAGCGCTGCGTGCAGCACTCGAGCCGAAAACTATTACTTTCTGAAGAGAAAATGTTTGTTCCTCTGCAGAGAAGGGAAATGTGCAATTGTCTTCAAGGATCGCCAGTGCATGTACTATTTGCTGTGAACCGGTGATGGTAAGATATTTGGGATCCAATGACGAGTTGGTGGCAACGGGAGCGGTGGCTGCTGTTGATGGATGATGTCGGAAGAAGCGCTTTCTCAAGACAAGTTTCTGCAGACGATCAGGAATTTGAAAACACAATTGTGCTCGAACGTATTGTTTGTTCTGGAGTAGTACAGTAGAGAGACTTTGTTAGAGACATGGTCTGTGTGAAAGTGAACGTTCCTCACTTTCTCTCTCACACAGGTTATGTTTGGCTGACAACTATTTGTAGTGTTGCCTTGATTGAGTAACACTGACAGCATTGGAAATTTGGAAATAGTTTCCATTTCTGAAATGATGCATACAATTGGACAAAACTTTGCAAGAAAGACATAGCTTTCAGAAACAGTACCTGGGACCGGGACTGAAGTAGCCATCTCCTTACCTTCATCACCAACAAGCTTCTGAATAGATACAAAATGCTGCACACCAGACGCAAGCGAAGTTTAATCGGATTGATGGCGATTCGCTTGCTTCTGTTGCTTTTTAGATTGGTGCACATGCCTTCCCAAAGCAATCCTCCTTGCTGGACAGTGACACCAGTCGGGAGCCATAACGTCGGTGCGCCTCTTGTTACGCCAATGAAACTTGGTAGTCCGAAGGATTAGGGGGCGCTGAACACGATGCAGCAACAACCTAAGGCGTAACAAGAGGCGCAAGGACCGAAACCCGCCCTCGAATATTGGCAAAAAGCGAGAGACAGCGCGTCGACAGAGAAACGTCTGGACGCCGCGCGAACGGCTGGAGGCATTGCTCCATATCCTTACCAAAGGACTAGAAACTTGAAATCGCCCAAAAAGAGCAAGGAGACTGCACAAGCGAAGTTCAAACGCAGGTCAGTTTTGATGCCTCCCGTAAAAATCGAAAAATCGAGTAAAAACCTATGTGCCATGACATCATCGATTTTCAATGGGCCGGGGATGGTCCAAGCGCGACAAGCGAAGTCCGTGAACTGGTCACGCGTCTGACCTCGCTACTACCTATGCATATGGCCTAGCCTGGCTAGGTGGCTACATGATTCGCACGCTTCGCGTGCTCAGTGCTTCTGCGCGCGGCGCGGCTGCTACTGCTACTCGTACTGATCGTGTCTGCTATAACTTAAAGGGAAACTGAACGCCAAAAATAAGTATGGCTTATCCGAAGGAGAATTGGGCACTGATTCCGATGAGCTATGTCTCGAGCCGATCAGAGAAGAGGAACTGTGTCAAATAATTTCATAAATAACACCTCCCATATTTGGAAATTGGCCTTGATGACGTGCGTACTGCTTAGCTGTCACCATGCTGTGCATGTTCAGCAGTGTAATTGAATGGAAGAAAACAATTACTTTGGTGTTTTGCAGCTCTGTTTCGTTCCCTGACGGTAACCAAATCTAGGTGTAGGAATCTGTTGAGCAGGAGAGTGACACATGTCTTCCCGAAGGCTGTCCAGGCTGCAGTGGTGATGAAGAAGACACGATCATCACCCCGAGATCGATCGTAGCGAATTGGAAAACTCATGGTGAATTTGCTTCCACTCCAAGGCAATGTCGAGGTATGAAGGGTGCTTGTACTGCCTTCCAAAGTGAAGAGGAGATGAACATGGCTTTGCATAGCTGTTGTTCTATGCCAACTTACCTACTCTTGCTGGTACCGTAGTGCTATATTGCAAATTTCGTGGACGAACAACTCTAGTCACTAGTGGCTAATGAGCAACACTAACAGGTGAGATTTTTCAATTCGACAAAAATTGTTTTTGTTTGAGAACTGACAGTGGCAGTCATTAGACTCAGTAGGTGTCTCTCTGCTGCTTCTTTCCCTTCATCGGTAGGGTTGTGCTTGAATAGTACAAGTGCTTGAAGTAAAATAAAATAAATAGAACATGTGGAACATAAATCTAATCAAGCATCAGTACATGTATTGCGAAGTTCAACTTCAAAGCACATGAAATCACAATGATCACGAAGTTTATGTAATCAGGAGTACACCCTGTGTTCAACGAACACATACACACATGCTGTATTGCGCACACACATGTACACATGTGCGTGCACCCTTACCCCATCCCACAGACACACGCATGCAGCGCGCACATCCATACACATGTGCGTGTACCCCCCCCCCCCCACACACACACTCCTACCCATACACATGTGCGTGCCCCCCCCCCCCACACACACACGTGTGCACATACAGATACACAAACACACACGCACGAACACACACACACAAGATACGTGTAAGTGTACATGGTCTTCCTGGTGCAGATGCTGAGCCAGCACAATGGAAAATACCTCCATCAAGATGCTTGATCAAGTGTTGTGATAATGGCACTGTTTGTTTGTTTTTACAAAGAAGTGTGGGAAAGATTACAATGCATTATAATTCATAATTGTTCTTTGCCTTGTACTGTGCAGACCAGAATGCTTCGCTATCAACTCCTGGCTTTCCATCGGCATGGTGTTCAGCTGCAGCGGCATCTGGTCCGGGGAGTTCAAGTTGCTGGATGGCTGCACTGACACAGGAAGGGTTTGCGTTGGCAATGCGATACGGCAGTCATCCCACATCACGAGCTACATGTTTATGTAATTTATATTGTCGCTCGTCCAGCAACGTCAAGGCTCTGCATGTAAACGCAGGAGAACACCATAATACTACTCAGGGGACAATAATTTTGGATATCAATTTCGTGACAATTATTAGATTCACACAATATTCACAACGTATGCAACACGATGCTGTCTATTGACACTACTTCAAACTGAAGTGCTCACTACTCCTCTCCCGTTTTCATCTCCCTCTACCTTATGAATACTCTGCATTACTGGTTTCGTTTCTACCCTTTCCATTGCTGCCAGCTCCCAGTCTTTTTCAATGCACAGCACCACCTTGACAGTCATTTTTGTGATTTGATGTACACATACTTTGAAGTTCAAAGTCGAATTACATGATCAGATTTTTGTTCCACATTTCCTATTTATTTTTACTTCAAGCACAACCCTACCGATGAAGGGAAAGAAGCAGCAGAGAGACACCTACTGAGTCTAATGACTGCCACTGTCAGTTCTCAAACAAAAACAATTTTTGTCGAATTGAAAAATCTCACCTGTTAGTGTTGCTCACTAGCCACTAGTGACTAGAGTTGTTCGTCCACGAAATTTGCAATATAGCACTACGGTACCAGCAAGAGTAGGTAAGTTGGCATAGAACAACAGCTATGCAAAGCCATGTTCATCTCCTCTTCACTTTGGAAGGCAGTATAAGCACCCTTCATACCTCGACATTGCCTTGGAGTGGAAGCAAATTCACCATGAGTTTTCCAATTCGCTACGATCGATCTCGGGGTGATGATCGTGTCTTCTTCATCACCACTGCAGCCTGGACAGCCTTCGGGAAGACATGTGTCACTCTCCTGCTCAACAGATTCCTACATCTAGATTTGGTTACCGTCAGGGAACGAAACAGAGCTGCAAAACACCAAAGTAATTGTTTTCTTCCATTCAATTACACTGCTGAACATGCACAGCATGGTGACAGCTAAGCAGTACGCACGTCATCAAGGCCAATTTCCAAATATGGGAGGTGTTATTTATGAAATTTGACACAGTTCCTCTTCTCTGATCGGCTCGAGACATAGCTCATCGGAATCAGTGCCCAATTCTCCTTCGGATAAGCCATACTTATTTTTGGCGTTCAGTTTCCCTTTAAAGGGGAAGTTCACCCTAAAATCAAAATTTCACAGTTTGTAGATTTCGAGGCGCTGAGTTCGGTGGTGAAGGTCCCATCGCCGTGCGATACGCCGTTCTGGAGATATTTGAATTTGAAATTTATCATGACGTCATGCAAAATGACGTCATGCGGCCGGCGCACACCCCCTCCACACCCTGTGACGTCAAAGAGATACAGGTTCCCGGTCTGCTTGCTTTTCAGTGAGCGAGAAAGAGTGGCGTTTGTGGAGTTTCTTTCTTGCGACCTGAACAGTTTCAACCACGATGACGGTTTGCTGTGCTGTCGGCTGCTCTAACCAGTCTGGCAAGCCCCCTGGGACCACGGTGCATCGTATTCCGCGGGATAAAGCTCTCCGAGCGGAATGGGTTGCAGCGATTCACCGCGAGAATTTGCCACCTAAGTTTGAGGAGAGCTGTGCGTTCGGCACATTTTGAGGAGATGCCTTCCAGAGGAACTTGCACGGAGAGATGGGCAAAACGTGCCGCCGAAAGCTGAAAGCAGACGCTGTGCCATCGATTTTCCCGGACAGGCGTCCCCCAGCGAAGCGAAGGATGTCGCAGTATCAGGAGAGGCAGGAGAGAGAAGAGGTGAGTGAATGGTTCTGGTGATTTCGTGCTTTGAGAGCGTGTTGAAATTTTGTCTGTACATCGCGAGTTGTAGAGGGCAGTTTCACCCACTGTGTTGAGTACATCGTATACTTGTAGAGAAAATGATTTACAGATACCGATACAAAGCTGTTTGCAGTGTGTTGATTGCAAGGTACTAGTATTGAATGAAGACAGAAGATCGTGCAATATATTTTTGTTTTATTTCAATTCAAGTTTTGCATGTCGTGAAAAGGCATACAGTGGTCACTAGCACTGTCCTCTGCGTGGTAAGTTTCAATTCGAAGAAAGTCTTCATTGTGTTGCATTGTCACTGTTATCTGCGTGTATTTTGCGAGTTTGATCCTAGCTCAAGCCCATGCTGAGCCGTATGCCGCAGCTTTTCGGTCTCCAGTTGCATGCGCATTGAGTCCAGACGATGGCATGATATCTGCTGATGCGTGCACACAGACCCCCGTCAGCACACGGGAAATTTAGAGGTGATGTTATGGTACCCACTGTGTAGATCAAATCCACACGTACATATGCTTGCAACACTGGCAGTACATTTTCATGACTATTCTTTTGCTATAAACACACACACACACACACACACACACACCTTTGATCTTTGACGCCAAACGCCGGAGGCAATGATGGCAATGCTACGGCAGAAGCCATAGCAACTTGTGCTGGAATTGCACCATTCAACAGCTTGCAAGGCTGAAGAATTGACCGTCACAATTCAGCCTGGTCTTCACCATACAGCTACACACAGACACACACGCGCAAGCACCTGGCTGACTACAAATAGTGACAGCTTATGATTGCTTTGCCGTTTGTCCATTAATGCATTATGCAGGTGTTCCACCGGACTCCTCGGCCAAGTTTTCCGAACATCAGCCATATGTATTGTCGGTGTGCTGCGTAACGGTGCGAGTTGCTGTGGGGAACAGGGGAGTAGATCTTCCTGCTGTTAGTCTCACATGTCAACGTACATTTCAGTGCAACAGCAGCACACTACAACAACAAATTTTTGAAGAAGTATACAAGCCAATATCCTGGTTATATTTTTGCACCATGGAACAGTATTTTATTTTGATGAGAAAATACAGTTCTCCGATGCAAAATCGACGACAGTATTACACTATTAGCACGTACCGGTTTCCAAACTCAGATGGCTTCGATCCGGCCTGCTGATGGATCTTGCCCAAATAGCCACGCAGTACAATGTACAGTGCGTGCTGGTTGCTCCAGCCTTCCCCGAACTACGAGGTGCAAGTAATGCAGCTAGACTCAGTAACCAATCCGCGGCTGCCGATTCCGGAACATCTTTGCAGCAAATGCAGTCGTTCCGCAATAATTGAACGACGCATTTGCCACATTCACACCAGGACGTATTGCCAACGCGATCGGCAGGTGGCCAGCAGTCCTCTAAGCAAGCAGCAGGGTCAGTGTCGGCAGCAGCCCGCTGCAGTTTCGTCAGCATTTACACCAACTTACTTGCTCCGCACTCGCCATCTGCATGATCTCATCCTCGGTATACTCCGGTTCCTTCGCTGGCGTCCAACTCGCTCTCCTCGGAGTCACTGTCATCTCCTGACAAGGAGGTAGACCTACCCTGAATCGTCTCCGCTCTGAGCCTCATACTGCTTGACTTTCCGCCTTGGACATTCACGACTTCACTTTCTTCTCCGTCCAACTCCAAGTAAAAGTTCCGAGCTCCAGGAGCTCCTCTATCTCTTTGACGTCACAGATTCGTGACGCCATGGCGGCGCCAAAAACCGGGGATCAAAGTGATATTTCAGTTGCGTATATCTCCGGTTATAGTCACCGGATGAAGACGAGACATACACCAATCGACTCAGCTGATTTTTCCCAATAACATATCTGATTTTGATTTTAGGGTGAACTTCCCCTTTAAAGGGGAAGTTCACCCTAAAATCAAAATTTCACAGTTTGTAGATTTCGAGGTGCTGAGTTCGGTGGTGAAGGTCCCATCGCCGTACGATACGCCGTTCTGGAGATATTTGAATTTGAAATTTACCATGACGTCATGCAAAATGACGTCATGCGGCCGGCGCACACCCCCTCCACACCCTGTGACGTCAAAGAGATACAGGTTCCCGGTCTGCTTGCTTTTCAGTGGCGAGAAAGAGTGGCGTTTGTGGAGTTTCTTTCTTGCGACCTGAACAGTTTCAACCACGATGACGGTTTGCTGTGCTGTCGGCTGCTCTAACCAGTCTGGCAAGCCCCCTGGGACCACGGTGCATCGTATTCCGCGGGATAAAGCTCTCCGAGCGGAATGGGTTGCAGCGATTCACCGCGAGAATTTGCCACCTAAGTTTGAGGAGAGCTGTGCAATTTGTTCGGCACATTTTTGAGGAGATGCCTTCCAGAGGAACTTGCACGGAGAGATGGGCAAAACGTGCCGCCGACAGCTGAAAGCAGACGCTGTGCCATCGATTTTCCCGGACAGGCGTCCCCCAGCGAAGCGAAGGATGTCGCAGTATCAGGAGAGGCAGGAGAGAGAAGAGGTGAGTGAATGGTTCTGGTAATTTCGTGCTTTGAGAGCGTGTTGAAACTTTGTCTGTACATCGCGAGTTTGAGAGGGCAGTTTCACCCACTGTGTTGAGTACATCGTATACTTGTAGAGAAAATTATTTACAGATACCGGTACAAAGCTGTTTGCAGTGTGTTGATTGCAAGGTACTAGTATTGAATGAAGACAGAAGATCGTGCAATATATTTTTGTTTTATTTCAATTCAAGTTTTACATGTCGTGAAAAGGCATACAGTCACGGGTCACTAGCTCTGTCCTCTGCTTGGTAAGTTTCAATTCCAAGAAAGTCTTTATTGTGTTGCATTGTCACTGTTATCTGCGTGTATTTTGCGAGTATGATCCTAGCTCAAGCCTATGCTGAGCCGCATGCCGCAGCTTTTGTTTCCAGTTGCATGCGCATTGAGTCCAGACGATGGCATGATATCTGCTGATGCGTGCACACAGACCCCCGTCAGCACACGGGAAATTTAGAGGTGATGTTATGGTACCCACTGTGTAGATCAAATCCACACGTACATATGCTTGCAACACTGGCAGTGCATTTTCAGGACTATTCTTTTGCTATAAACACACACGCGCGCGCGCGCGTGCGCGCGCACACACACACACCTTTGACGCCAATCGCCCGAGGCAATGATGGCAATGCTACGGCAGAAGCCATAGCAACTTGTGCTGGAATTGCACCATTCAACAGCTTGCAAGGCTGAAGAATTGACCGTCACAATTCAGCCTGGTCTACACCATACAGCTACACACACACACACACGTGCAAGCACCTGGCTGACTACAAATAGTGACAGCTTATGATTGCTTTGCCGTTTGTCCAATATGCAGGTGTTCCACCGGACTCCTCGGCCAAGTTTTCCGAACATCAGCCATATGTATTGTCGGTATGCTGCGTAACGGTGCGAGCTGCTTTGGGGAACAGGGGAGCAGATCTTCCTGCTGTTAGTCTCACATGTCAACGTACATTTCAGTGCAACAGCAGCACACTACAACAACAATTTTTTGAAGAAGTATTCAAGCCAATATCCTGGTTATATTTTTGCACCATGGAACAGTATTTAATTTTGATGAGAAAATACAGTTCTCCGATGCAAAAATCGACGACAGTAATTACACTATTAGCACGTACCGGTTTCCAAACTCAGATGGCTTCGATCCGGCCTGCTGATGGATCTTGCCCAAATAGCCACGCAGTACAATGTACAGTGCGTGCTGGTTGCTGCAGCCTTCCTCGAACTGTGAGGTGCAAGTAATGCAGCCAGACTCAGTAACCAATCCGCGGCTGCCGATTCCGGAACATCTTTGCAGCAAATGCAGTTGTTCCGCAATAATTGAACGACGCATTTGCCACATTCACACCAGGACGTATTGCCAACGCGATCGGCAGGTGGCCAGCAGTCCTCTAACTAAAAAAGTCTAAGCAAGCAGCAGGGGCAGTGTCGGCAGCAGCCGCTGCAGTTTCGTCAGCATTTACACCAACTTGCTCCGCACTCGCCATCTGCATGATCTCATCCTCGGTATACTCCGGATCCTTCGCTGGCGTCCAACTCGCTCTCCTCGGAGTCACTGTCATCTCCTGACAAGGAGGTAGACCTACCCTGAATCGTCTCCGCTCTGAGCCTCATACTGCTTGACTTTCCGCCTCGGACATTCACGACTTCACTTTCTTCTCCGTCCAACTCCAAGTAAAAGTTCCGAGCTCCAGGAGCTCCTCTATCTCTTTGACGTCACAGGTTCGTGACGCCATGGCGGCGCCAAAAACCGGGGATCAAAGTGATATTTCAGTAGCGTATATCTCCGGTTATAGTCACCGGATGAAGACGAGACATACACCAATCGACTCAGCTGATTTTTCCCAATAACATATCTGATTTTGATTTTAGGGTGAACTTCCCCTTTAAGCGCTGCCACCTTCGCGTGCTCAGCACGTGGTGGTGGCTACACGATTCGAACGCTTCGCGTGCTCAGTGCTTCTGTACTGTGCACATGTAGCTGCTTCCGCTAGCTACACGATTCGCACGCTTCGCGTGCTCAGTGCTTCTGCGGCCGCTAGCTAGCTACATAAGTCATTGTGCTACACTGTTCGCACGCTTCGCGTGCTCAGGGCCGGCAGCGCTGCTCCGCAGCGCTTCAGCGTGACACAAAAAACACACGTCACAGGTGCCTCTTCTTTATAAGGAGCGTGACACACACACACACACACACACAGACGTCTAGACACACGTCACAGGTGCCTCTCTTTTATAAGTAAAGATTATGTTGTGAATAACAAAATTATGTAGTTTGGGAGTGCAAGTGATGCCGTTTCGGCGCAGGATTTGATTTTTTTTACTTACTAGCGAGGTTTATGGACAAGTGAGAGTTTTTATATCGAGAGCAGACCTGTACCGTAATGATCACATGCACAGTTCAAATAATCGAACAAAAGAAAAAAATACCAAATCAATCTTGTTCTGATGGTGTCAAGAAAGAGGTTCACAGTAGGATCTTCAACCACTGTCTCGTTAGTTTGTTTGGGTGCTGGGGACTCAGCAGCGGTGTAGCACATCGGTAGTGAAGTTTTTTTTCAGGCCTTGTGCCTCGCAGGCTGTGTGTGGAACTGGCAGAAAAATCTAGTCTCATTCGCCCCCGTAGGAATTATGTGTCACAAAAAGACTGAATAGCTATTCGGTCCTTTTAGCACTGTCTACATTCTAGACGATGCATGGATATTTTACCTGAATTTGCTGTGCAGTTGGTGTCATGGGTGTCTTCTGGAGCGATGATATTTGGCGGCATCGTGCCGTACATTCCGCAATATCTGGACATCCAGCGAAAGAAGAGCACAGAAGGCTTTTCCACCCACGTCTGTCTAGTTTTGCTGATAGCTAATATCTTGAGAATCTTATTTTGGTAAGTGCTATAAACATGATAAATGCATATCATGCTCATGTTTGAAAGCACTAAGGGTTCGTTTGGGTGGGGCTCTCGAACATCTTTGACAGTCTTGCAAGAAGAGAACAGAAGAGAGGAGTAGGCGAACACTTTTCTTGCGAAGCGAGTCAGAGCCGAAAAAGGCAGAGAGCCAGATTTCAACAGGAGTGCACGAACATTTCCGCAAGGAGCTCATGGTGACGTCAGGGCAGCACCCGTGATTTGATGCGTGCTCGCAAAAGCACTGGGATGGCGACTCCACCATACTAGCTTACAGTCCACTCATTCGAAAATCTCAGCACGAAGCTGACCGGATCTTTCTGTAGCTTCGGCCCTGGGTGGACGGTGTCATTCAGTGACATTCCGTGATCCCTGTCTGCGATGTCTAACACTGTCCAAAAAAAACCGGATTGTGACGAAATCGCGTTCGTTGACAGTATACACAATGAATTTAGGTTTCTACGGTGCTGGTGTTGCCTGTGTTACACTAACTCTTGTAGGTGATTACGAAGTGGACCATGTTTTCACAGTGGTGGCAATCGAGCTCCGATCATTGTCTTTGTGCAGTTCATTGGAAGCACAGTCTCAGTTGATCAGTGCAGCTTGTTGGAAAGGTAGAACAAGCAAATCCCACACACTGCCTTGTCGGTGTTCTTCGGGTTGATTGTTCTGGTAATTGTGTTGTTGTTGCTCTGTCTGTGTCAAGGTTTGGACATCCGTTCGAATGGCCTCTTCTAATGCAAAGCATCTTGCTAGTAGGGGCAATGCTGCTGTTGCTTCGTGTATGCACGCTCTATCCGGCTGATCATGACCTAGCTACCCAGCCAAGGCATTTCGTGGGTAAGTCCTTGACGGCGTAGTGCATGTTACCATGTGTACTGGTGGGTTAGCAGTGCTTGTAGTAATGTTTCACTTTCGCCATATTCATCAGGGTCAGCGATGTTCATTTTTCGCCGTTGGTATCCACGTATGCGTTGCGAAGCAGTACAATTTCTTTGTGATTCAGATCAAGCCGTTGCCGGTCTGAAATGCCATTAGCTGACAGGGGCGCCGGAAGGCATTCAATATTGGTGTGGCGATGAGGAGGGTGTGTGTGGGGGGGGGGGGGGGTCATCCCCCGGGAATTTTTTTGAAAATTGGGCCAAATAGCCCATCTTTTATTGCTTCAAAAACTACTCCGTACCGTGAACTAGCCATTTCGAGGTCCTTTTGTTTTGCTATAGTATAGAGAGGTTCCGGGGTACGATTTTTCGTACCGAAATCCCGTAGATGTGCTACGGATTTTTTCGAGGCGTGCTTCATACGATTTTTCGGCACAGAGAAACCGTGTGGACCGGCTTTCATGCGAACCATGTTTTGTATGTAGATTTTGCGTCATCGAGTGCAGAAAGATTTTTCACGTACAAATTTGGTACGAGAACCATCGATTTTCCGCGGGAAGCTTTGATTTCGGTACAAATTTTCAAAGTAAAAAAGGCTTAGCGCGGATATTATGACGTGTTTGCGATCGTAAACCTAGGCAATGACGGCAAACACGTAATTTCCGTACTCCGGAGCATTTCACTACTCGAAAACGACGTATACAAATCCGTAGCGTCTCTACGGTTTTTGGCACGGAAAATCGTACTCCGGAACCTCTCTAATATTACCAGTACGCACATCTTAGAAAATTGCTACTTCATTGAAGTAAGCCATACATGTTTAATGCTTGTACTATGAGTATGTTTGAATAATGAATATCATATTATCACTTTCACACTTGAACTGGGAGATATTGCAACTTTACACGGGGACTGGGAAGAATGTCAACTGCCAATTTTTTGGCTGCGGGTGGTCATGTCCCGATGATAACGGCCCTATGCTCATGTCCCAATGGTCCTAATGGTTATGTCTTGATGGTCATGTCCCAATGGTCATGTCTTGTCTTGATGGTCACGACCTGATTGTCTCAATGTTCACGTCTCATTTGTACTGCCTGGCTACAGATTTTGAATGGTCGCACTTCTGGCGCTGGAGTCACTACCGCGATTACCTGCAGTTTCTGGCCTCATTCACGGTCACTATGATCATGTTGACAGCATTGCTGATGCCAATAACAACCTATATTGAGTTTCTTGGCTTCTGTGCGCTGATCACTGAGGCTATGCTTGGAGCACCGCAATTCTATCACAACTTCGTCAAGAAGTCCACAGCTGGCATGAGGTGAGTCCCTTCAGCTGTTCATGACCATCTGTTCGTGCGCACGTGTGCGTGTGTATGCGTGAGTGTGTGTGTTTGGGGGGGGGGGGGGGGGGGGGGTGCGCGCATGTGCATTCAGCATGTACACCAGTTCAAATACTTAGGCTTCAACATCATGAACAGCAGCCGTGCAGCCATGGATATCAGCACCTGTATTGCAAGCGCCGCAAAGGCATGTGGCGCCTTACAATACCCTGTCCTACCCTCAGCAACACTCAGCTTCCAGTATCTGTAAAGATATGTGTCTTACATGTCTGCGTTATGCCATTGCTGTTACTGCATGGTTCACAGTGCTGGCCGGAAATATGCTGTATTCCACCGCCGGCGCCATGCCCATGTTGTGCCGAGAGAGAATCGTTTAGAACTTGAGGCATGATGCAAGGGATGCACATATATAATAGAGAACAGGTGAGAGAGAGACAGAGACAGACACAGAGAGACAGACAGAGAGAGAGACACACACAGACACAGAGAGAGACAGAGGCAGAGAGAGACAGAGACAGAGAGAGAGAGAGAGAGAGAGAGAGAGAGAGAGAGAGAGACGGACAGAGAGAGACGGACAGAGAGAGACGGACAGAGAGACAGAGAGGGAGAGAGAGAATCCAGAGGAGGACAGTGCTACTTCAATCACTACATGCATACACTATTGTAATTACGGGAGCTGGATATGAGAGGATCGTGGATAAGGGAGGTCTGACTGTACACACTTGTTTGAATGTCAAGGCATCTGGCTCACCGCGGCAATGGACGCAAGATCATGCGATTTTTGTTTTCAGTTTGCACATTCACATTCCTGATTAAGCCCGGTGAAAGATCTGTGATTGCTAATTCGGCCTGTGATTGCCAGACGGCTTGAGACCAAAATTTGATGGAGATCACCAAAGACGAGAGATTGATCATCGGAGATTCATCATGGACGATGCACTTGCTTCAAAGTTGCTTCTGTACTACGGTATTAAATCATGTCTTTTAAACGCCTTCATTGTTCGTTTTGTTTGAGAAAGTAGTTTTTATTTCCCATAAATACCTGTAGTGTAACGAGAGAGCTTGGAAGCTCAGGGCCCTGCGCTATGCTTTTTTGCCTTGATGACCTAGACAAAAAAAGCATACGTATGTTATAAATTCATATAAATTTTTCCTTTTTTTTTTTAAGACAACCTGGGATTCGAACCCGCACTATCGCCGTGCATGCATCCCCCGATACACTTCGCATGCAAACTAATTCTTCCAAGTTGCTTCACGTTATGATCTTGCATTTGAAAGCCCTATTTGAATATGCATTGTGGCCAGCCGTCTTCGATAGCACGGTACGGTACGGGACAGATACGGGACAGGTACCGGACAGGTACGGTCGAGGGTAATACGACACCGTCTACCGCCTTGATGACCTAGGCAAAAAAAGCATAGAGATGTTGTAAATTTTTCAATTCTCCTATTTTTTTAGCATAACCTGGGATTAGAACCCGCACTATCGCCCTACATGCATTCCCCCATACACTTCGCATTCATACTCATTCTACCAAGTTGCTTCACGTTATGATCTTGCGTTTGAAAGCCCTATTTGAATATTGCGGCCAACTGTATGTGGCCAGCTGTGTTTGATGGTACGGTACGGTACGGGACAGATACGGGATAGCGCCAGGCGTGACACAAACACACAAACACCAAATTAAAGCTGTGTGGACCCTGGCTAGCGCCAGACGTTACTGAAGTAACGTCTTCTGCATAGCTACGGGAATAAAGAATAAACTCGGTTGGAGAGCCAAGGATAATTTTATAGGAAAGAAAAGACCAAGGAACTACAAGTCACGCTATAATGTCCACTAACACCACCACTAGCTACTTGACTATCAGCTCATGCGATAAAATTGCACGAAACTGACTAACAGTACTGACTTCCTACAACTAACTGCCAATCAACTCTGGCACGTCTTGGATGCGAACTCCAACAGCCTTCCAGCTTGGAAGGTGCTAAGTTATAGGAGGGGAAGGTGCGCGCAACCAAGACGAGCACAAGCTGATAGTCTTAGCTGTGAAGGACGTTGGCGGATGTACATGTCATGGTTGCGCGCACCTTCTCCTCCTATGTTATTCCTATAACTTAGAACCTTCCTAGTTGGAAGGCTGTTGGAGTGCGCATCCGAGATGGGCTAGTTGATTGGCAGTTAGTTGTAGAAAGTTAGTACTGTTAGTCAGTTTCGTGCAATTTTTTCGCATGAGCTGATAGTCAAGTAACTAGTGGTGTTAGTGGACATTATAGCGTAACTTGTAGTTCCTTGGTCCTTTTCTTTCCTATATTAAGTGTAATAAAGATCAGCAATAAAGACCACTTTTTTGGCAGAGCCTACAAATCCGCATAACTAAATCCAACAGAAACAAACAAACTGTGAGCAGCTATCATCAAACACACATCATCAAGCAAGGAAATAATCAAACATCAGAAGACAATGCAAGTTATTTATCGTCCTTCTTTGCCTTCTTCTTGAGCTTCAGACTCAACTGGTTCTTGCAATTGGCTGGCCGCTCCATTATGTTGACAGTGAATACACATCCAGGACCTTGTTTCAGCGCGCAAACTTCTCTCCGCGAATGTTGATCTTTGTCTCGAGACTGTCGACATGGCGCTGCATGGCACTCCTGCATGCAGTGTAGGCTGATCACTTGTACTTGCCACTGTCTTTCTTCCTCTAAAATTGCTCCGAAATGTCCTGCAACTCATCTTCACTGACACTCTCCACAGTGCAGGAGTTGTGCTGAGGGTTTAGCTCGGTTTTTTTTAAAAGACAACGATCTAAATAATGTAGACATCGCCCTCATGTTTACATGGTTTACGCGATTATACATATCCTCGGTTTTTTATCTCGGTTTTTTACACGTATTGTGCTCCAGACAGAGCGCACCTGAGTAGAGTGAGGTGGTATTGTGCAGTACAATAGAGTAGAGTGGGGTAGTGTACAGTAGAGTAAATGAGACTGCTGTTGAATGAAAACTTCCTTGTGGCTGCTGTGATGGCCGAGTGGTTAAGGCGTTGGACTTGAAATCCAATGGGGTCTCCCCGCGCAGGTTCGAACCCTGCTCGCAGCGCTAACTTTTTTTCAAGATTTTCTTGGATATCCATGGAGAGTGCACCGCTCCTTTTGAAGCATGTTGATTGATCCAATACACGACAATACCAAAATAATGCTTGAAGAAGTATTTTACTCCACAGACATAGGGTGTCATCGATTGGCGAATCTGGATTGAGTGCAAGCAGGCGGTGTGGTCCGAGCAGCGCTGGCTCAATCGAACAAAACAAGGGTGTAGTATGCAAAATGTACGCATATCGTACATATCGTACATGTACAAAGATTCTGTGAAAGCTGTCCAAAAAATGCCCAAGTCCATTTCCACTCCAGCCACACCCGGTGTGGGGGCCGGTGTGGTCGGATTGCACTCCAAGTACACCTACTCCGGATTCGGCCGGATTTGGCCAAACAATCACGCTCACTCGGAGCGCACTTGCTCAGGATTCGCCCTATCGATCATGCCCAAAGTCTATGGTCACGATGGTGTAAAAATAAAACGGAACACAAGCTCATAGTACATGTGCCTTACTTTTCTCTCATCTTTTTTTGTGAGGTATTCTGGGGATGGGATTTTAACGGGAATAGGCAACCGGCTTTTCTGCGTACCGCTTGCATTTTTTCCCTAAACGGTGGAAGGTGCTGTGTGTTTATTCTGCTTCCTTGTTCAGCATAAAGATGGTGTGCTGTTGGTTGTCTGGTGACATCTTCAAGACAGTCTACTTCCTCGTCAAGAACACACCGCCGCAGTTCTATATCTGCGGCTCCATTCAGGTGATGATCGACATATCCATCCTGTCGCAGGTCTTCATCTACACGTCATCGCAGATGCTGCCGAAAATGCCGTGAGTGAATCGAATATGCCACCTTGCCCCGGGTCGCCTATGCTCATGGACGAATCATCATAATATTGAGTCTTGACTGGTCACACACACACTTCACTTCCTGACCGTCCACTGGCGTGTTCCCTCCATTGAGCTCTGGTCGAATGTGAACTACTGATGCCCACTTGAAACTCTTCTCTTTGCAGTGTGGCAGTAACTGTTATTGTCTGCACAGTCTCCATCACCTGTCACTATTATTCAAGATCCTTCTTGATTTGTTCTTGTCTCTCTACTCGTTGTCGTTCCTCCGTCTCTTCTTGCTTGGGCACAGGGGGGCTGTCTGGACATGGATGTATCACGCTTGCTTGAGCTCATTCTGCTCTTACATAATAATTATTTGAGCCTTATCTATATCCCATCAACTAGGATTATGTGAAAACTGAAAAATTCGCCTTTTTAATAGCAAGATGTCGTGTTTGCTTAGCATCGCCAATCTCGGTTTCGTATGTGTTCAGGTGCATGTCTGTGTGGCGGGTAGGGTGGCTGACAGACAGACAGACAGATCAGACAGCACTACATTATTGTGCAGAGTAGTACAATGTCATGTTACAGAGCATGGTCGGTGGCAATAGCGGAAACGTCTTATTGCGAAATTACTGTTTCTGTGCGAGGTCACGGTTGTTCTGTTATCGTCATCATTGATGTACAGTACAGGCCGCCGCAATCCGGCCGCTCGCTCGAAAAAAAACTGCACGTTAGCTGCATGGTGGATGTGTGATCTGAGCTGATTTTCGGAGCTGCACGTTGCCATGGGTTGCTTGACTCGGGGTACGGACAGTGCACCCGCGGTCGTATTTCACTGGCCAGCATAGTACTGTACTGCTCAATGGAATCCCACCATGTGAATCAATATTACGCTGGGCACTGGGCTGAGTACTCCTACTAGTGCAGGGCGTACACTATTATATGTACTTGACATTTGCACACGGTTGAATTTCGTTGAGCGGAACTGTGTACGAGTATGTAACACTAAAACAGCAGTGCATTGTACTGCATGCCGGTTATCTATATCCTGGTCTATATTGTGGATCATTCGGTCAGGATGTAGCGATACCAAGATGAGGTCCGACTACTGCTAAATACCCATACCTATAGGCTAAGTCTGCACAGTAGAATTCTTCCTCTGCCCACACAGTGCTAAATTACTAGTAGTCAATACACTCAAACGTCTCTTATTCGGACACCTCAGATACGGGCTCGTCTCTCTACCGGGCACCTTCACCTGAGTTCCTATGGCAAAAATGCTTCGAATTTGGGGGTTTGACCTTTTTTTTTTTCGTATGCGCGAGTGCTATTTTGTCACTGCCAATCTGTGTAATCCACATATTTTTCATCGATGGATTATTTTTGTTACCTGAATATGTGCAAAATCTGCCAAATAAACTTCTTCAAAAATGATAATAATATATTATGATACAGCTGGTAGATGAGTTTTCCTGAGATACGGGCAAATCTGATAATATCATACAGACAGTGCCCGGTCCCAAGATGCCCGGATAAGAGACGTCCGAGTGTACTACTATGTCATTTTTTTACTGAATACCACAGTACCATCAGATGCTGCACAGCGCGGGCGGTGGCATATTGGATGGAAGTGGGGGCGGGGCAAAAGTAACTCCTCCGACCAAAGGTCTCGGAATCATCGTTACTCCTGTGCGCCGATACATAGGAGAAAAGAAACATGTGAATCCAAGAGGGAAGCACCGGCTTTGCAAACGATAATGGGGAGAATTTGAGATTGAGATAGGACAAAACAATAGTAAAAGCAGTGCACCGTAGGAAGATGGAGTGAACTGATAATCGGATTTTAAGGCTGAGCGAAGGGGATCAAAGAGGGGTAGAAGGGAGCTGGAGTGCGGTCAGTATAATTAGGCTGGTGTGTTGGCAGAGATCATAGCCTGTCTGTGGCCCACTCCCACTTGCTGCGCCGCAAGTGGTCGTTGACGTTTTTCTTGAACGTGTGCATACCTCTGCGAGAAGGGGGAGACTGCAGAAGGGTAGGTGGGAGCTGATTCCACGTTGCGATGAGGGAGTGGGGAAATGAGCGGAGCGTGTTGTTTCGTGCCTGAGGAGGAAGAATACTGGCGAGTTGCGATGGATGATGTGTTGCAGATCTGGTTGTCTCACGAGTAGACATGCGGCATTTCGGTGCGGCTGCTGATGGGGGCAGAATGGCTTTCACCATTTCCGGACCCTCCACAAAGTGCAGCTTGTACAGAAAGCAGAGCCCTGCTACGGTACGGCGAATGTCGAGGCTCGGGAGGTATGATCCATCTCCAATTATGTGCAGGGCACGGCACTGGATGGCAGTGAGGCGGGCCAAGGTGGTGGGGGCTGCGCTCATCCACACCAGCATGCCATACTCTAACACAGGGCGGACAAAGCCACGGTACACGATTGCCCGGTGCTTTGGGTCTAGCACAGCCGATGCCTTACGGAGGAAGCCGAGCCGCTGGGCTCCGCGTACTGCAAGCTGTCGGATATGGCTGCGGAATGCCAGCTGCCTGTCGAAGGTGACGCCAAGAAGCTTGAGCTCCTCTACTTCTGGCACGACTGCTCCTTGGAAGCGTATTGCATTCGGGGGGTTGGTGAGCGGTGGTGGCTGATGGTCAATGCCTGCGACTTTGTGGGCTCGAACTTGATCCTCCACCTGCTTCCCCATGCTGCCAGTGAGTCTACTGCCTGCTGGAGGATTGCAGTCTCTTCTGGCAGTCTGAGTCGGGTGGTGATGCACTTGTAGAGAGTTGTGTCGTCGGCGTATACAGCCAGCTTCGCCCCATCAGGCAGGTGGTCTTCTGCGTCGTTGACGTACAGAAGGAAGAGGGTGGGGCCGAGGATGCTGCCCTGTGGCACGCCAGATTGGATTCGGTGGGTCGGTGAAGACTGGCCACCTATGATGACACGGATGTGGCGGTCTGTCAGGTAACTCCGGAGCCAGGCAAGGAGGGGGCCACTTATGCCTCACCGCTCGGCCTTGTGGAGGACATGGGAAGAACTCCTGAAACCTGATCCTTACTATTAAAATCGGCCCTCTGGCTTTTTTTAGTATGACGTCATGTCAGCTGGCATGGCATGGCAATGATGGCATTGATGTGATGGCAAGCGACAGACAACGCATATATCTACGGTCGGTAACCGGAGGCCGTTACGGTCCACGAGGCCATGGTCGACCACTGCAGCAGTGCAAGCAAGCAGTGCACGAATTATTGGCATATCAGTTACAGTTTCGGACTTTACAGCTTACTTCTGGCCTCCGTGGCTTGCACTGGGGTGCGCTGTCCTGAGCATCATAAACAGAGCTAGCGAACAAACTGCCTTTGCACACCAGGGCACGTTTGTTTTGGGAGCAGCTGATTTATCGGGTAGGGTTCTTCGGCTAACGGGTTTGGCAGAGCAATGGCTGAAGCAGAAGGAGAAGCTCCGGTGGAGGTTCCTGCAACTTACATTTCAGTGCAGGTAAGCTTCGGCCAGCAGTCCGATGAGAAAAGAAGAGACGCATCTTTATTGCTGACGAAAGGCTCAATTGGTGTTTCTCTAGCAATGGACCCAAAAGGCTCGATTGATTCATTGTTCACACTGCTGTATGGTTACCGTCTTCGGGAGGGCTGCTTCTTTGATCTGCTAGCCACTGAGCTCATGTCATGAGCCAAAAGTACACGAGGTGTGAGCAGTGATATGTTCTAATTCGTGTGGCGATGAAACCTGTTCAATGGAGTTCATAGACACGAATGTGATAGGGTTTCCCATGCTGGTATCTTCTCATACTGGGGTAGCTTTACAAGACTGCATTCACGGTGTGTATGTGTGACTGTGTTTGCGTGTTTGCATGTGTGTGTTTGTGTATGGTAGTCTAGATAGCTGTAATTTTGGTGCCATGATACATTCAGTGCCAAACACCCCCCCCCCCCCCCTTCTCCGTTCCGTGCAGCCATGTGAACCTGTATGCTGGTACATGGTAGTGAATGCGCTTTATGTGGCCCTGCATATAGCCTAATGCTGCTATGACGTGGGCTTGGACACAGCACAGTTTGACGAACAGGGTCAGGTTTTTACCCCAGCTATACGGTGATTCACTTGAATTACATGTCAATTCCGTGCCAACACAGATTTGTTCAACATGTTCTAATCAATTCAGCTTCATTGGATCTTCCAAGGGTAGGCCAGGGTCCCAGGGAAAATATCACTAGTGGTGTGCACGGGCAGTCGGGTACCCGTGCTACCCGTGAGGACCTCGGGTAGACGGGTACAGAATAGTACCCGAAAATGAAGTCGCAGATGACAGCATGTACAGTGCACATGTAGAAATTCATGTAATACTCCTCGTGTCTACCAAGACAGTGTGTGAGGGAAGGGGTGTGCATTGGGGTGTTAACATGGAAACATTACCCGATCGGGTACCCGTGCTACCGGTGGAAAACTACCCGAACCCGATACCCGAAGAAAATGCTACCCGATTCAGCCCTAAAGATCACTCCCCTGTATTCTGCGTACATTGATGGTTATCGCTACTAAACCTTTGATGAAGTTGGCTGGTCCTCCATGGAAGCACACACTTCCGACAGCCATCGGGAGCTTACCGGGAGCATGTTGAACTTTCCCAGCTGGAGGCCCAGGGGGTGAAATTCCCAGAACACTTAGTATGTACAAGTATTGCCGCGCGGGGGCAGGGGCAGGGAGTCGTGCTTTCTTGCAGGTTTGCCGACGTCACTGATATGGCAAGTACGGCCTTGGCGGAACCAGTTTTCTAAAAATTCCAGTTCTTGTGGAAGCCAGTGTTCAATTCACAATGTTGGAGTGCTTATACTATACGTTAGCAGCCATCCGGTTATCCGCTCATGCACTGAGTGACTCCTCGCTAGAGTGTACCCTTCCTGCCCAGTGGGGACTACTATGCTAGCTTGGTGTCTGTTGCTAGTGACTAGCTAAATCAACCAGACATAATCAGATGCATGGGACTAAGAGATGCATCCTCCTGGTCCGGTCAGCCCATACCCAGTGACACAGTCCCAGTCTGAACTACACTTGCGCTCGGTGAAATCCGATCCAGAGTGCACATTTGGTGCCCTCAACTTGCACGACCCTTGACACCCTGGAAGTGGGTGGTATGAATGCAGCTGGACGTGCACATGGTCAAATACAATAACGTAGTCGGAACTGGTGCAGGGCGCCAGTTTTGCATTTTGGGTCGGATTTCAGCGAGCGCAGCTGTATAACATGGCCGGCATATCCGGAGACACAACTGTATACATTATGTGTATGTACCTTCCCTGGCATGGTGACAGCCGAGGGTGGAGGACAGTTTGAACTGACGAATCGGAGCTACTGTAGAACGGGTAATTTTAGCGACTATTAATTTTAGCGTTTTCCCATTGTCAACCGGTTAGCGACGTTTTATTTTAGCGATTTGCAGCGATTTTACTCACGGATCACCAGTGCACTACTAATTGTCTCAACGTATTAGCGACTTGAAACTTTAGCGAAAATGAGTAGATCGCTAAATTCGCTAGGGTTTTTACGTCGCTAAAATTACCCGTTCTACAGTAGTACGTGCCTCGCAACCATGTTCCTTGGCTGGTGCTTTGTCTGTGTTATGCTCACCTCGCAACCATGTTCCTTGGCTGGTGCTTTGTCTGTGGTATGCTCACCTCGCAACCATGTTCCTTGGCTGGTGCTTTGTCTGTGTTATGCTCACCTTGCAACCATGTTCCTTGGCTGGTGCTTTGTCTGTGTTATGCTCACCTGGCAACCATGTTCCTTGGCTGGTGCTTTGTCTGTGTTATGCTCACCTGGCAACCATGTTCCTTGGCTGGTGCTTTGTCTGTGTTATGCTCACCTCGCAACCATGTTCCTTGGCTGGTGCTTTATCTGTGTTATGCTCACCTCGCAACCATGTTCCTTGGCTGGTGCTTTGTCTGTGTTATCCTCACCTCGCAACCATGTTCCTTGGCTGGTGCTTTGTCTGTGTTATGCTCACCTCGCAACCATGTTCCTTGGCTGGTGCTTTGTCTGTGTTATGCTCACCTCGCAACCATGTTCCTTGGCTGGTGCTTTGTCTGTGTTATGCTCACCTGGCAACCATGTTCCTTGGCTGGTGCTTTGTCTGTGTTATGCTCACCTCGCAACCATGTTCCTTGGCTGGTGCTTTATCTGTGTTATGCTCACCTTGCAACCATGTTCCTTGGCTGGTGCTTTGTCTGTGTTATGCTCAGCTCGCAACCATGTTCCTTGGCTGGTGTTTTGTCTGTGTTATGCTCACCTCGCAACCATGTTCCTTGGCTGGTGCTTTGTCTGTGTTATGCTCACCTGGCAACCATGTTCCTTGACTGGTGCTTTGTCTGTGTTATGCTCACCCTGTTAGAAACTGACACAAGGCTTCGGTGCATGCAAGACACTGGTGGACTCTGGCGTTGATGGAGACATCCTAGGAATGTGGCTGCTTACGCTGTACGTACTGAAGACAAGAAATTACTATGTACAACATAGTCATTGTGTGCATGTGTCCGTGTGTGGTGCATGTGTTGTGTTTAGCCGGGGTTGCAATGCTAGCACTATCTACACTATAGAGGTTATGCGAAAAGGAATCATAATGGTGAGTCAGCAGGATTTCGGAACCGCGTATGGGTGCTAAGCATCCAGCGTAACCATATGTGGTTACGCTGGTATGTATACATAGTGAGTCGCTATTGTAGTGCATTACAGTATGTAGCGGGCTGTTGTGAATGCATATATGAGTCATGAGTCAGTTTATGTGTTAGTGCACAGCGAGGAGTGCATTCGAGCAGTTATTCACATATACTCCTTTTCTTGCTCTTGCACATTCTCCAGGGTGTCTGGCATAGCGGCACAGTGGCCCCTGCACCATCACCCCCCCCCCCCCCCTGTTTTCAAAAAATGTGTAGCGTATCGTAAGCACGCGACTTAAAAAACAGTGTGTGCCTTAGCTTAGCATTGAGAGTGACAAGGGTTGACAAAGAATGAAAAGGTTGGATAAACTGATCTTCACCATGCTCCCCTCACCGTTTGGGGTACGAGAACGCCACAGTTTCCCCTGGTGCTTCCTCTGCTTGTCTGCTCATCATTCTTTTCTTCAGTGTTACATTGAGCTGTTATTTTCTCTCTCTCTCTCTCTCTCTCTCTCTCTCTCTCTCTCTCTCTCTCTCTCTCTCTCTCTCTCTCTCTCTCTCTCTCTCTCTCTCTCTCTCTCTCTCTCTCTCTCTCCTCTCTAAAAACCCATTCTCCGGCCATCCCCCCAGTTACTGTTTGCTGTACAGCTTGTTGCACTGTTTGCTGTACAGCTTGTTGCACTGTTTGCTGTACAGCTTGTTGCACTGTTTGCTGTACAGCTTGTTGCACTGTTTGCTGTACAGCTTGTTGCACTGTTTGCTGTACAGCTTGTTGCACTGTTTGCTGTACAGCTTGTTGCACTGTTTGCTGTACAGCTTGTTGCACTGTTTGTTGTACAGCTTGTTGCACTGTTTGCTGTACAGCTTGTTGCACTGTTTGCTGTACAGCTTGTTGCACTGTTTGCTGTACAGCTTGTTGCACTGTTTGCTGTACAGCTTGTTGCACTGTTTGCTGTACAGCTTGTTGCACTGTTTGCTGTACAGCTTGTTGCACTGTTTGCTGTACAGCTTGTTGCACTGTTTGCTGTACAGCTTGTTGCACTGTTTGCTGTACAGCTTGTTGCACTGTTTGCTGTACAGCTTGTTGCACTGTTTGCTGTACAGCTTGTTGCACTGTTTGCTGTACAGCTTGTTGCACTGTTTGCTGTACAGCTTGTTGCACTGTTTGCTGTACAGCTTGTTGCACTGTTTGCTGTACAGCTTGTTGCACTGTTTGCTGTACAGCTTGTTGCACTGTTTGCTGTACAGCTTGTTGCACTGTTTGCTGTACAGCTTGTTGCACTGTTTGCTGTACAGCTTGTTGCACTGTTTGCTGTACAGCTTGTTGCACTGTTTGCTCCGTATACACGTAACTATTACTATGTTGACACTGGTTGCTGTTTTGTTTGCTTGCGTTCAACTCACAGAGTGGACCACTGGGACCATGATTTCGAGCGCATAGTGGTCTTGACCAGCAACTCGCTGCTGGTGGTGAAGTACGACTTTCTCAAGATGGTGGTCAGTCGCACTACACGCGTGGCATTCTACACAATCTTCAGACTGACCACCGGGCCCTTTGCCTACCCGGAGAAATCTGCAGTGCCGTAAGTATAATTATGTCGTGCTATCTGTACACTCGTATCTCTCTTATCCAGACCTCGAAGTTACGGGCACCTCGGTCTATTGAGAACCTTATGGGTGCGCTTTAGTGGAAATATTACTACTCTTTTGCCAATTTTTTTGCCAAGCAGGCAGGCATAGTGGGATGGTCTAAGACCAGGCACGAGGGAAACATGGATGCGGTGAATGGGATTTTCAGTCTTTGACCACTTTGTGGTGGGTCTGATCTACTCATCTCCCACCGCTTAGGAGCTAGCTGCATCTGCGCCTTGATCCAAGAGGGTGGTGGCGTTCCTGCAGATGCGGAAAACTGGGCTTTTGGCCGAGTCTCACGCGAACCGTGATTTTTTTGCCAATTTTGTGGAGATAGTGGCGTCATATAATTATGCTAGATCTCTGGCATTTCTCCATCGAAACGCATGTGATTCAAACTTACGGACACATTTTCAAAGTTATTGGCATTGCCTGGTCACGACGAGATAAGAGACCAAGACGAACGAAATGACTACATTGAAGAGTGAGAAAAGAGAGGAAGCGATCAAGTCTGAACGGCAAGATAAAGGGCCTGGGTAGCTATGGCCATTATGGGCGCGCAAGTAGCTACCCAGGCCAACGGAACAAAAGGAGACAAAAGGTGAGTACGCGAGTGCATGCAGGCCAGCTAGAAAAGGTACGGGAGGAGGTACCTAACACTACCTTCTAAGTATATCTCCACTCATGCATGGTTGCACACTATCCCTGTCTGGACCCTGATCCACACATGACCACACTACATGTAGGGAAAGCCCCTATGAGCAACCCAGAGGTATGGATGACTGGCGGTATATTTTACCACACTTGAGGACATGCAAACTGGTTGCTCCCTACGTAGGAGGTGGTGTGTTTCCCTGTAAACTTTACTAAGTAAAGTCTTGACGCTGGACAAACTCTTGACTGCAGAGGCCAGTGAACCTGAGTATTTCAGATCTTATGGCAGGTCTGCTATCATGGCAGATCTCAGAGAGCCCGGGTTGAAGGTCACGACAGATACACCCAGCAATCACTTGTGTGCATGTTTGGGCATTATCTACAAACTTGAAAACCAGTTTGAGCGTAGGTAGAGATCAGACATAACATTGGTGTTTGAAAAAGGTGCTATTCGATCACTATAGACGATTATCATTACATGTGATTCGACTGGGTAGTAACTTTACGACTTAGTGATGATGAAATACACAAACAGACATGCATCATACATACATGCACATTCATGCCAAGACTTGTCAAATGTACTCATACCTGTGTCATTGGAATCTAATTGCATGAAAGAAAGCATCTCAAATTGACCAGCTTGTCCACACCTTTGTCCCCTATCTGCTCTTGTCTTCCAAACATCCCGCAATAATCCTTTTGCTGCAGACAACGATCAAGACGGGCTGGAACTGGTGTTCGCATCTTCTTCAAGAAAGAAGAACCATCTATGCTACAGAAGTTCAACCCCTGGACGAAGGAAATGCCGTTCGTAACATTCTCATCTCACATCGTAGCACGAGAGGCGTCGGGAACAGATATGCGACAGGATGATATACGACTCCAGGTAAGGATGCTTCCTTATTTTTTAAGGTGAAAATAAGCGGATGTTGGCTCGCTCAGCGAGCCCGAGTCATCGTCCATGTGTGGATATGCACTACCCAACCACAGTGAACATGCTGTGATCCGCTCCCACTGGATTACCTGTAATTGGGAGAACTTGCTTCATACTACTGCTGCTGTTTGGGCTGATAGTATTTTGTCTGTGCTGGCTATTCAGCGTGTGGCTGAAAAGATCATAAGCTATTGCCACGGACATGTACATTGTAATCCCCTATTGTGTGTTGTTTGTCGTGCTGTGTATTTTGGAAGAGTACATTCTACAGTTGAACATCGATTATCCGCACATCGACTATCCGACCATTCGATTATCCGTAACAGTTTTTTTGGGCGCACGTGCCGTAGAGTACGCACTGTGCATGTAGTGAGCCATTCAAAAAATACGAAAATTTTGAAAAGTAAAAAGTAAAAAGGTCGTGCGGCTAGTAATAACCACTGAAAGTGTGTGAGTGACAGTTTTTTCTTATCCGGAACATTTGCCTTATCTGAACACCGCCTGACAGTTGTCTGCCCAGAGGTGGTCGGATAATCGATGTTCAACTGTACCAGCGTCTTTGCGTATCTCTAGCAAAGAGAAAAAGAAAACCGGAGACGTGTCAGTGCTCGTGTCTGCTATGACAAAGGACATCAGCTAGACAGTCACATAATGTACCTACAGTGCTGTCAGTCACCGAAGAACTGGGGGGGGGGTCAGCCTCCTACTGTCCTAGCCTAGTCCGTTCTTATTTTCATGTATTACAGTCTATGCGCAGTTGAGTCACTGTGTATACATTGGTATGCTGTGCTTGATGGAATTCTAGCCTGTTTGTTCTTCAGTGCCCGGCAGTGACTGTATGATGAGATACAAGAACACATGGACCAGCTCTTTGTTTGCCAAGCCGGGAGATTTAGGGGTCGTCGCAAAAGTTTTTTGTCGTCCCTGAAACGAACATGATTCGTTTGGGGGAGGCGGGGGGGGGGGGGGGGGGGAGGGGTGCGAGCCAAAAGCGCAAGCCGACTGACGCTGTACATATGACATGTACATGCATGTAATTTTCGTCGTCCAGCATAGCAAGCAGTGTTCGTTTCAGAGGGAGGGGAGGGGTCCGAGTACGAAAGGAACGATGTTCGTTTCAGGGATGACAGAAAACTGTTGCGACGACCCCTAAGCGCACTGTGTATGCTTGGTGCGTTTTGGTGTGCACAGGTTGATCCGTTCTATGGACGCCTCGTCGAGGCCGTGCGCAGCTGCCGTGCCCGCCTGATCACGGATCGGCGCATGGCCGGGGTGGACAATGATGCGGCGGCCGCCTCGGAGGCAGCTCCACCGGAAACACTGGAGGTGGCCGACGAGCCAGTGACCCTGGACGTCTATCTAGGCTGGTCAGCTGCACTGTACAACACCAGTCAGCTGGGATTCTTGAAGAACCGCGGCTTCATCAATTTCTAGTATGTACATGTAGGCGAGAGAATCCAGAGCATTCACGTGAACATTACAGAAAGCCAGTCACCAGTGCATATACAACCTGGGCAGTATTTTTCACTAGTTGTAAATTTGTAGCCATCTTACGTGTACATCATCAGTGACCTATAATAGCACGTTGTTACATCACAGTAGCTTGTGTTAGCGATATTGGATAGAGCACAGTGGACGCTCAAGTACTTCTGCTGGGGTTGCTGCATCGTCTAGTATAGCAGCCTGCATTCATGTGCAGGCTGTAAATAGGAGTCATAAGGTCATCCAACGCCACATCCATAAGTTTATGTTTAGCTAACAGGCGATTGCCTTCTCTACTTGACTTTTTAAGCAGTTGGAAACACAGCAAAAGTACTGGAGAAATTAGCAGTGTGCTTCTGAATGCAGCATGATAAAACCTAAGATTTTGCGGTACACTCTACCCCTTTTTGAAGATTATTTTCTACTAAATAACTTACGCTAGCATTTTTTTGCATAATAGCACCAGTATGCACAACAGTACATCCAATGAAATTGATTCTCCTTTCGTGTCCGGCCTAGTCAGTGCCTGGCTTACAGTGAAAGCGTTTACAGCCTTCAGTTAGCCTTGTATGTGGATTATGCCACGGTGCGATAGAGCAGTCGACCTGAGCTGCTTCACACAAGTCCACTGCAGGACAGCATGGCCACTGGTCCTGGGTTGTGCCCCTAAGGCCTAACTTTGTGGCACAGCCGCAAGTGGCCGGACGAGACTGTGAATGGCATGCATAAGCATACATGCCCTATGGTAACAGTCCGGGTATGCGCTATGCGTGGGCGTTCTCCTGCTGCGGCCGCTTGGTGGGATTTTGTTATTTATTTATTCACAATCACGCGGTACTAGCCAACGAAAAGGTGATGTGGGCGATAGCCCGCCATGGCGGTAATAGAGGGGAGAAAGAAAGAAAAATTGAAAGGGGAACTGAAAAGTAAGAGAAGCTAGGGCAGAGCTGGATATCAACTAGTATGTTGCAGTCTGCTGTAGCTGTATGAATGTCTTGTAACATTGGCAGGATTTTAGATCTTGTGTGATGTCCCAGATAGCATGAGTGGTATACATGTGCATGTATTGGTGACCTTTCGTAGGCTTGGGCGGATACAGCATAAGGCGAAACTCGCTCCACTAAAAGTAGCCAATGTATGAAGAAATGAACTCGGGAACAAAAGGACTTTTGCGAGACCTCTTTTAGCCCAGGTAGCAGTTTGACTGCCACCCTGGTATGATCAGGCATGGTGATTGGTGGTAGCCAGGCACAGGCGAAACTCTCTAAGCTGGTCTGTTTCTCAACACAATTGTACAAGTATAGCCGGTGGTCAGGCGCGTGCGCCGGTGCCCTTCAAGGGGCGGTTCCGGGGGCTCCCCGGGGAAATTTCAAAAAATGAAGCAAAATCCTGCATTTTTAGCGAAAAAAGGGGGTTCCGGGCACCGAGGAACCCACACGGGGCACTCGCCTGGTGGCAACGCGGATGTACGAACTTTACTTTTTAGAATAGTGTGTGTTCGGAAAAGTGTGAATTGTCTCTTATATCGCTTGTCTGCCACTAGTCAGTATTTCCCAGTGAAGACCAGTGGAGTGCATGTACATGTACGTTCTACATTCATGTCAATCAATTCCGCAGTGAATTTCGTCTGGAAAAACCTGAACGGTATCGGGTTTATTTTGCATGGCTATGTGGTGACAGCTACATGCGAAGGACGCTGATTTGTGACAAGAGAAACTTATGCTCAAGGATCCTTATCTCTTACTGCTCAACAATGTATCACTATGTTGGGGTGGAATGTTGAAATGTTGATCAGCGACTTACGGCTATGCTGGTGTGGAATGTTGATCAGTGTTGAGCCAAGATAAGTGCACATGACAGGAACAAGCGGAGGAAAGACTTTAAGTGTTCACGGGCCACTTGAGAAGTCTATTTTGAATATGCCATCGTGGCATTGGTTGTGAATACACACTATTGTAGACAGGCACTTGGCAGGCGTGGGCCGTGAAGTGATAATGGGGCTATCCACAAAAAAATGTTCTGTTCGATCATGAACTGGCAAACGGTGGTGATAATAGTTTTTGGAGTGTCTGCTATCATCGCCACCTAGTCCCGCTGGGTTTTGGAGGAATTTCACTCTCTTATCTCATAGTTGGAGTCAGGGAGTACCAGTACAGGTCCTCCCTCATTATAACGAGTCCGGTTAGTACATAAACCCCATTAGTAAATAGAAATCTGAAATCCCCTGGCGAAACGTGGTCTATACAACTGTTTACAGGTCCGGTTACAACATAATCCGTTAGTACATAAAATCCGTTATAACGACCCTTTGCCCAGGTCCCTGGAGTGCCAAACCCTCAGTATAAGATAATATTGACCATGCAGGACCAAGGCCAAAACATGTAGGATGAAGCAGAACGAGGAAACATATGATGTCTATGTATTCGTTAATATGGACGATCCTTTGAATCCAAGGAAGAGTTATGTTGGAGATTTTCAATTATCTTATAACGAGTTGAAGCATCGATAATTTATGTTGTATCGAGGGTAGCCCCGGTAAGTACGAAGTAGTGCCTATTTCACCTTTAGCTGCAAGTCCTGCTACAAGATAAGTCTCGTTATAAGATAACTTTTTCGATGGCCCAGAGATTATCTACTAACGAGGGAGGACCTGTACTAAAAATTAATGGTTGTATTACTCCCTGACTAGAAGTAAGTTGGGTAGAAGCCCACGTCGATTCTCTCAATGTAATAACGTTATTGTGTACAGCCTACCTACAGGTATACACAAGACGTTATACAGTGGCACGCTGATTATAGTGATAGTGCCTTGAATATGCAAAACTCATGTGTAGATCTCAGAGGCGTCGTTATCGTGCGCCTGTCTGAAGAGTGAGAAACTTGTTTGTAGAATGTAGCATGCGATTGGTTACTACATCAGTACATGTATACCATTGGCGTTGTTGAGTTTTCTATGCTTATGCCTCTCTAGGCGCTGCTCACTTGATTCAGTGCTCTCAGGAATGCTTCTACCCGTGCATTACAGCAGAAGAGTGACACAAGTGACAGTCTATAACCATATTCCGCTTCTTTTCTGCAGATTCTATTGTAAATTTTAGAATATTGTTGCAAAAACTATCAATGGCCTGATTTCAGTAAGTCATGTACAAAGTAGTTAGGCAGAATGATACCTCAGGATCCTCTTACCTGTCTCCCTAACTTACTTCCAGGGAGCGGCACAATGCCTGCACTGGCTTCGCAACGGTCTTGACCTTCTCGGCGAGTCAATCACGAGGAGACAGCGATAAGCGTGACTGAATGATTCAAGCTGCAGCATGTTACAGTCAGTGCAAGGCAGCAGCCGGCCGGATGACAGGGAAGAGCAGGACCGGAGATTGGACATCGTAGATCTACAGTAACACTGAAGTCTGGTTTGGAGCACTATGAGTCACTCAGAGGTGGCTATATCGTTCCGTTCGTGCTCTAGGATCTTGCCGTTTAGACCAGAAGCTACTAGAATACTTGTATGAGTCAATCAAGCTGGTTGGGTCTTCAGTGCTTATAACCGGGATAAGAAGCTTTCTTTTAGAGAAGATGGGACTGCGTCTGCGGGTTCTTGGCCAGGAAATGGAGCCCCATCAGGATCGCAGATTTAAAATACTTTTGGAGCCGGCTATACCTGACTGGGTCATGGGAGCACGATATTACTTAGTGGTGAAGACAGCAAGCCACTGAGGCTCGAGGAAGCGATCCGAGTTGGTAACCAAAGCAAATGCAAGTCAAGATAATTATGTAGTTTTACCAACACGGTTACACTGTACACCGTACTGGCAAGTCAGGTTAGATACCAGTCAGTGACATGTGGCGGATGTACCGTGGAGGGCAGAAATACACAACAAGAAACGAGGATAACGTTCAGAGCGTGTCCAGCTACACAAACCTGAAGCTATCCACATCCTGCAGGTCTGGCCCAGGTGTACGGTATATCAGCGTGGAGGTGATAGACTAGTTCCCGACACTAGACGTACAGTCACGTACATGTATGTCAATGGTGGTGTCGATTAGATGGTGTCCCACATCAATGCACTGTTGCTAGCCTTGGCATGTGTACTTTGAAGGGTTGCTTTCTAGATACATTGTACATAATAATTACTATGATCACGAATGCTCGAACCCTACCTCTCCGTAACGTTTTGAATCCATGGTAGAATCTACCTACAGTAGCAATCTGAACGCAACTGGAATGGTATGATTCCACGTAAACCAGGACAGTGAAAAACTCCGTGCAAGTCCGAATGCTGCTCGCTACTTACCTTACTGCCACTTCCCCTCC